CCAGCAAAGAAGTGCACGAGAAGCTGTGAGGGAGTGTGGCCAGGACATCTGATCTGAACTGGCCAAAGGGGTTTTTCAGACTATAGAATGTCATGCTCAGCATATAAATTGGGGGTGAGGGTGGTGATGGTGTTTTCTCTGTGGGGCCCATTGCTGCTCAGGGACAGACTGGGAACTGGTCATTGGTGGTGAGTGATTGTATTGTGCAATTGCTTGTTTTATCTTGTGGTTTGTTGTTTTTTTTTAATTATTCGTTGGTGTGGGTTTTTTTTTTTTTTTTTTTTTTTTTTTTTTTTTTTTTTTTTTTTTTTTTTTTTTTTTTTTTTTTTTTTAAATAAGGGGTTGAGTTTGTGGGATAGGTGAAGGGTTGTTACTTTGTTTTTCAGTAGTGCCTTTTTTCCAATCCAACACCATGGAAGTCACATTATAGAAAGGATAGAAGAGAAATTTCAGGTCCTCAAATCTGTTAGGCTATAGAAGCTTTTAGCAGTATGATGTGACATCTTGACATCTCAAGCCGGGCGTGTTTGTGGTTCTAGAGGAAGGAGAAGGGTATTTATATACCTGAACATATGCAGACTAAGGTCTCCCCGTGCTTGCGTTGCTTCACTCTGTATTGTAGATACTGTAGAGCTGTTACCACATAACATTTTAGATTATTTTTTTTTTAATTCAGTGTTCAGAGAGGATGAAGTTCTGCACTTATTCTTAATGATTTATTATATGTTGAATTTTTCTTCAGAAATATATAAACAGAATGGAAAAAAAATGTTTTGATATCTCTGCTGATGAAATTTATTTTAAAAAGATACTAACTGGATTTCTCAATGTACATAACAAGAATATATATTGGGAATGTTGTGGATCACTTCCAAGTGTTTTGTTAGGGTGCTACTCCCTCCCTCTCTGTTCAGATACTTGATCCTGCAGCAGTAAATGCCTCCTATCAGATCTAAAGAAATAAAACACCTTCTCAAAAACACTAATTAGCATTCTTTATTATTGCAGTTAATTAAGATGATAGCATTTGCCTCACTGTTGATTCATAATTTATATAAAAAAGTCAGATTTACTTCTACAATATCTTGCTTTCAGAATTTGTTTCTATTTCCTAGAACCAAGCATTATATTTGCATTTATATTTTTACAGTGAACCAAGATTAGAAATAGGTTTAAAATGATACATATAATACTCTGCAAGTTCATGCCATCTTAAAGGTTTTATAATTTTGAAATGCATTCAAAATTTGCAGAAGAATAAAATTTCTATATACAAATAAGCCTGTCTTTAAATTTGGAACAGTTTATTGTTACTTTGTTTTGTAAAAGTAGGAACAGAATTTAACATAGGTCATGGTTGTCCTGGTTCTGGCCATTTACTGTGCACCTACAGGAGTTACCAGAGCTAAACTATTCCAGGGATGTCTTTTCAAGATATTCCACAATTGTCTTGACTTTGAGAAAGCTGAGGTGTAGGGACTGTAATCAGGAACAGGCATTGTTGTCATCTACCTTGATTTTCTTTGTATTGCTGTAATAAGTGATTAAAGGCTGAGCCAAAGTGACTTTTTTCAACAGCAGTAAAAGTCACTGCATCTGTCTCATAAAAGGTCTAAACCCCTGAGGGAAGAATTCAGTGCTGCTGTATTAACTATATGTAAGTATGCTCAGCCCTGATCACTGTTACAATAGAGTCTTCAGATATGACCTCTTCTAGGATCTGCAATGTTGTTCAGTACTGTCTGTCATACATCCATACTGTCATACATACATACCACATACACACTTGTGGTCACTGAAGTTGTTGGAAGGGGGTAAAAGTGCCCTTAGTATGAGGAAAAAAGATGTGTATTTTGTCAAGAAACACAGAGTGTAGCTTGACTACAATCAAGTTGGACAGATGACTACCTCACCTAGAGGGAAAAGGATGTATTTCTTATGAACTTAGTATTTTCTGAGGTATAAATATTCAACTACAATGCTATATGTATGCTGGAATATTTTTATTTTCTTCTTGCTTTTGAGCAGATGTGCTTCCTCTTCCAAGAGTGGCTTTCATCAGATGCCAGAATTTATGTATGGGAGCTAGAGATTAATAGAGCTAGTGGATTACTGGAGATACTGTAATTTTACAGCTGACAACCTATGCTCTGCTCTGGTACCCGTGCTGTGGAAGATTAGTGATGTGCACAGGGATAGTTCGGAGGAGAGCTCAATAATTAACAAGGAAAATTCTTTATTCAGTTGTCCAGCACCGCATAACTTCCGTTCATCTGTGAAGGCGGGGGAAACCCCCTCCGGGCAGAAAGACCATAAACTGGGCCTTCTCTGGCTGCGCGTTGAGAGGCGAGAGGCGGGGGAGATGTACACCGCTCTCGTTCAGGCTGAGGCTTTAACTTTGCTGGCGCCCATTTTTTTTTTGGGGGGAGGCCTTGCCCCGTGCTGTGTCGCGGCGCAGGGGCGCCGCGGGTGCTGCGGCCGTGCCGCCCCCGGCCGTGCCGCTCCGGGGCGCTGCGAGGGCCGCCCGGAGCTCCCCCATGCGCGGGGCGCGGGGCCCCGGCCCGCCGGGCGGCAGCGGCAGCGGCATCAGCCGGGGGCTGCTCATCGTGGGGTGAGTGCGGGGCTGGGGGCTGCGGGCCGTGGCGGCGGGCGCGCTGGCGCGGTGCAGGCGGACGGCGTGATTGTTTTGTTCCGTCCCGTTTAATGTCCGCAATTGCGGAGCCTTCGGCGAGGGCTAGGAGCAGTCGGGAGCTGCGGCAGCTCCTGGTGTTTGCTTGCCAGCGCAGGGGAAGTGATGCTGTGGATGTGCTGGGAGGGGTTTTTCCTTTCGTATTATTCTAGCGCAATAATTTCCTGGCACATCTTCTAATGGCATGTGATCCAAGGAGTCAGGAGACGTAGTACTACAGCATGCAGTGGAACAATGCAGCAGAAACACTGTTTTGCTGCATCTCACATCAAGACAAGAGGAGACAGCCTCAAGTTGCACCGGGAGGGCTTAGATTGGATTTTAAGAAAAAATTCTTCACTGAAAGGGTGATCAGGCATTGGAACAGGCAGCTCAGGGAAGTGATGGAATCCCTGGAAGGGTTCAGAAAACATGTAGTTGAGGCACTTAGAAACAGTTTAGTGGTGGACCCGGCAATGATTGGACTTGCTGATCTTAGAGGTCTTTCCCAACCTTGATGATTCTTTGATTTTCTGTGTTATGCTGTTAAGCATAATGCTTATATGTAGTTTCCAAGAGAAGGTCCATGAAATATTAGTGGTGATATTTCTGCGTTTTTCATGTATTTAGGGTCAGGTTTCCTGTAAACTCCCTCCCAACCCCTGCCCACCGAGTTCTTTGCGAAGTCAGAAAGTCTTAAGAGATACAGGAGACCCAATCAGTGTAGTTAGCTTATGCTGCCAAGAGTCTGTCAAGTAAATAAAGCAGCTGGAATACAAGAGGAAAGGGTTCTTGTACAGGCAAATGCCTACAGTATGAAGCAGAAGGTAACAGTAAATGGTTTCTTTCTCCAGTGATGTCACATTGAAATCTGTCCAGGGCAGTTAGAGCTGATTGACCAGGTAAAGACATGAACAGTGAAGTGTAAAATCTTGGTGATATTAAGCTGTGGAAAAATACTAAGAAAGGGTATTTTAAATATGTAATTATAAGGAGTTTCAATTAAAAAAAGCTAAAAAAAATATCTATGATAATACTGAAAGACCTTATAAGGCTATCTTAGCAATAACCTGGCAAATTAAATGACTGAGAGATATGTACAGGAACAGAAGGAAACAGTATTCTGTGTTCACGATAGGCTGTGAGCTCATTGTTACTGCTTGGGAGGTAGATTTTGGTGTTAGGACAAAATGACACTCCAGTCATGGAACAGGAATGCATGAGTTTTCGTAGAATCTCCTGATGCTGACTGGCCAAAAGCAGATACCAAGGGAAGAGCTAGGGTATTTTGAGCGAACACACAAAGATGTTTTCCACTGCTTTTGTACTAGCCTCCAGGAATTTGCAATTGAAGGTCTTCTGTGATGAGAAGTTAACTTCTGGTAGGTTTTTGGTGTCTTATTAACCAAGACATAGGAGTAGCATTTGTGATGTAGTCCATTTAAGTGGGGAGTTAGAATTTGACATGTATCTTTGTAATATGTGTAATGGCAAGATGAATATCAGGATAGAAAGAAGACAGCAATCCTAACTATTGCAGGGCCAAGCTACAGTTCTTGTCAAAAGAAATGAAGAAAATTCTTGAACTGTTAGCTCTTTCCTTACAGTTACTCATTCACAAATGTACTTTGGTGCAATCATGCTACTGTTCACAGTTATGACCTGAGGATTTTATGGGATGAAAATAGGAACTTTCACAGGTAAAGCACTCTGTTGTTATTAAAAGTGTTTCTGAGGAACACTTTGACACATCTGTGTATGTTCTGAAGAGGTGGGCTTAGCATACTGATGACAAAACTTAGTGGGATTATAGAAATATGTGATTATAAACAGTTTCCTTTAAAAAAAGCTAAAAAACCAACAACCCCCCCCAAACAAACAAACAAACAAACATTCCTTCATTAAAATGTATACTAAACTAGTTTTAGTAAAGACCACTGTTAGCTTGGCACCTTATCTACAACTTCTTTTTATGTGGAGAGACAGTTGAGAAGGTGGACTCTGTTAATGATTGAATAGAAACATGCAGGTAAATAAATTACTGAATGGACAATTACTAGTGTGTGCCTTTGCTCTGTTGCTGCAATAGTGAGGTGCTGCTACGTTTGTGTGTGCTTTGTGCAAAGTTTAAACTACACAATTGAAGGAGGATGCCGGTGGAGTTAAACAAGTCTATTTTAAAACAAGGTAGTTTGTTTCAAGCAAATGTTTATGTTGATGCATAGGATTGAAAAATTTGATGGAGTAGTTTCTTTTCCCCTCCCTCCCCTCCATTGGATGTGTGAATTAATTTTATTTAAAATTATGGAATGATGTGTTTCTGTGTTTATAGGAAGGGACTGTCCAGAGGTTCCACAAGTCGGTGTATCTCCGGAAAAAGTGGAGAGTCTCTTCCATCAGTGTTTGCAAAAAATGTGCAGGAAGCCATCGACAGTTATACTTGGTATGCATGTGCTTCTGTAACATACTTTTGACCCAGACAATGGAGTTAAAGAAGGCTTATGTTATCTATACCATGGTTTTTCATGGGGTCACTAGCTGAAGAGAAATTTGGAGAAACCAAATAATTGTTAGAGCTGGAAATTTAGGAACATGTGTACATATATATTCATATACATATAGGCATATGCATATTTTAGACTCCATACAGTTTCAATGATATATATAAATACAAAAGCATAATAGTATAGGAGGAATTGCCTTTAAGGCCCTAATGGTACTAATCATCATGGCTAGGCTTTGCAAATGAAGATTTGGGAAGGGCTCTACCCACGCTTGCTACAAGCGCGCTGATGGCTAAAAAGGCCAAGGCGAGATAGACAAGTCCAGTTGCAGAAGGCACAGCAGAAAGACTCCCCGGGTGAAATCGACAAGACATGATTCTTTCTGCATTGTCTTTTCTCCTCAAGAGTGATCCTGCGTGTGTTCCCAAAAGAAGCAGCAGCGTTATAGATGGTGTGTCTCCAGGCCTCCCGATTGGAGTCCAGGGTAGACCAATGGTGGTGATCAATATGGCCAAGGCTGGCTGAGGGATTGTTTCAGGGAGTCCTTGTAGGTACTAATAGGAGCATGTATTCATAGCACTCTACTTGAAAACATATGCTTGCACCTCTTCACCTCAACAGGAATATGTATTGCATTTCCATGACTGGTTGCTTTATTTTAAAAATGTTTATACAGAAAATAATTGTGTTCTTTATTTTAATTTGTCACATTTTCAGTGAAACGCTTTCATCACTTTCATCTAGTGGTTGTACAACACCCACAGAGTTGAAGAATTCTTGGTCTGGAATAAACAGCTATACTACTGGTTTGTCTACTGAAAGAAGTTCGATTTACTCCTGGAGGGATGATGTATGTCACGAAAACTTTTACAGTTTCCTTTCTTGAAATATTGTAGAAAAGATTAATATTTACTGAAAATGGGCATGCAGCACCTTATCTGTAATAGCCTAGTGATTGAATAAATTGAATTATTGAATATTTTAAAACTAGTTTTGTTTGCAAGTTGGTTTCAGTGCAGCTAATGGGTAACAAAGAAAAATGGAATAAAATTTTGAAATTACGAAGTTTGAGGAAAACAAACCTGTTTTACTGAAGAAGGTTGGCTTAGGTTTCTGAATCCATCAGAATTATTACATATGTGTTTTCAAATACTGCATAGCGCAGACAATGTCTAAATTGAATTCATATCAGGGTTTTCAGTTATAAAGTACAGTTGTGAACATGTATATAATTTTCCCAGTCTTGGTAAATATTTAGCTCTTAAATAAGCTCAGTTCTGTTTTGTAGATGATTCCTAAAGAGGTTGTACCTTTTATGGAGGCTAACCTCTGAGGCATACCTGGTGCAGGCTGGCAGTGTTGAATGAATCCAAAAGCATTGCAGTTGCTGTCACTTTCATTTTAAAAAGCCTTCCATGGCTGGTAGTGGTAGTTCTGCCATTATTCTTGCATAATGTTCTAACCTTTAGGGTACTGACCCCATCTGTCGCTGCCAGGCTTTCAGGAGAAAGCCTTCCTCTGGATTATACATTAACCTGTGTGAGAGTTATTTTCTCATTCCTTCTCGGTGTGATCCCTTCTGTAGCCTGGAATGCTTTGAAGCATTCAGCTGGAAATGAACAAGTGTGATTTGGGCCCCGAGTATTACCCCTTTTTTTTAGTGTATCAAAGTATCTAATGTAAGTGGCAAGTGTCATTATGAACAGTGCCCCAACCGAGGAACCCTCAGCCAAGTGCTTGTCTCCACATCACTGGATAAAATCAGGCACTTCCCTGTTATTTTCATATGCCTCTGTGCTCACCTGTCTCTGGTTGCACTGATTTGTGGGTTCAGTGAAGAGGTTTGGAAGGGCATTTCTCACACTGAGGACTGTCTCCTAACCACCAGACTAGGTCATGCAGGTGGAAGGTACCCCCTCTTTGCCCTCTTAGCTGTTTTACTCAGAAAGGGAGAGCAGTGCTTGTAAGAGCAGGGAGCTTTGATGCCCTGGGTCCCAAAGATGCAGTGTGCATGCTTCATATTGGAGCAGGGAGCAGCCTGGTAGTCCAGACACCTGATAATTTTTTTTTTTTTTTCTGTTGGCTAATCCCGGGCAGCTGTCAGTTATCTGTTAACATCCTAGACATGTAGGCTTCTAGTTCCTTTTTGCTAAATCAGCTTGCTCAGGTCAGTTATGTGGGATTTTTTTTTTTTCCTTTGCATTGTGGTATATTCATTGTGTGTCCCAAGTAAATAGTCTGAACATGCATTCTGACATGCCCAGCTAAATTGATTCAAGTTGTTTTGTTCTTTCTATATTGTGGTAATTTTAATTTAGATGCCAATTTGCTAACAACTATTAACTTCATAATATGTAGGAATTTGATAAAGCCAACACACAGAAAGTGCATCAGTTATTTTTGGAGATTGATGAAATGCTGTTTGAAGGAAAAGTGACCACCCAAACAGAGAGCCTGCAGGTTGAATGTGCCGATTGGGTTGAACAATTTCCTCACCTAAGGTAAAGAAATGTTTTGCTAGTGCTAGTTTTAATCAGTTATCATTCTAATTTGAATTTTTGGGGTACCCTCTTGTGGATTGCTCTTGATGTATGGCATCAGCAATACTTATGTGTTCAAATCTGTCTCTCTGGGACTGAGCTGTGCCATAGTTGCACAGTAAGTCTGGGAAGTGGTGCTTTACCGCTAATGCCCTTTATTTTGCTTAGTACAATGATTGCAGACAAAGATATTTTAGCAGGATGTAATGAGAAAATAATAACACACCATTTTCATAATGACTTTTCCTAAATAAAGAGTACATCTTGTAAATAAGTATTTGGTTTTACTGTAAGTGAAAACATACTGTGAAATTCCAAGAAATTCAGTAATTCTGTAATTGATTCTTCTGAAAAGTAACAAAATATAGAGGGCAACCACATGCCTCACATATACTGCACAGCCACAACCTCCTCCTGGGCATGTAAAACAATGTGTTATATTAACCCAGCAATAACCAATTGAATAGATAGGAGGATGCACACATGATTAATGAGAATTGCTTTGCATAGATGTGCAGGATTTCTAGGCAGCCTGATGACTGCTTCTTGTAGCACAGGGGACAAGTCAGTGTTGCTCTGCATTGTACTGTCTTGCCTTCGTAAATGATGGCATGACATTCTTTATGAGATATGGTTACTCTTATTCTAAACATAGGCATGCATGTATAATCACTGTCTTCTAGTCAATAGTTTGTTAACACCATTAAAAAGAATGCTGTCAGTAACTGTGGTTTACTTTCAGTGCTTTTATGTAATTTGCACAGGCTTGGTACTTGTAATTATAAACTAAAATCAACTTTAGGGCCATGTTTTGCCTTGTTTAGATACTGTGAAAATTAATAGAGTATGTATAAAATGGAGACAGATTTTTGTGCTGTGTAATTCAATCAAAATATTAAGTAATTTCTCTATATTATTTAGAGTATTTTCACTGGGTAGAATTTATTTTAAGTGATTCCCTGTACGTAGTATTTTTTGATTCAAATCTAATGCTGGCAATACCAACCAAGTCCAGGAGGCTGAAAGTGAATTGAAGAAATCTGGCAGTTTCTTCATCATTTGCTACTAAGGGATGTGATACCTCCTGTAATTTAAAAAGAAAACAAAAGTTATTTTCATTTATTAAGATGAAACATTTAAACTCGGTTTGTGTTGACTAGTTTCTCAGAAGAATAGTTTCTGGAATGCCAGATTGATTTCTGAGTTGTGCTTGAAATTGCTTGCTGGCTGTGCTTTTTTTTTTTTTTTTCATTATTTGTAAAACTACTGTGTTGATATATGAATATGTGGCTCAGCATGTGCAAATAAATGTACTTGAGAACTGTCATCAGTAAGAGAAAGATCAGATCTATTAAAGAGAAAGCCTTTTGTTCTTGCCTTACAAAATAAAGAGTGAAAAAGGCCATTGCTTAGAGCTTCATGTGGCATAAAGTGTTGTTCTGTAAAAGGTAGTCTCAAGAAAACATGTTCAGGTGAGTCTGAACATTGCTGCTTGCACTACAGATTTGACTGGTAAATTCTATTGAGATCCCTCGTGAATTCTAGTGAAAAAAAAATCCAGTAAGCAATGAGTATTTAACTATACTGTGTTCAGAAATTATTTGACAGTGTAATTTTGTGTATATTTATTAGATTTATTTATTATATTTATTATTATTTATTATATTTATTGCTTTTACCTTTTCTGTCTGTCCCTCTACATTATGCATTTGATTTAGCACTTTTGCTCATGTTGATGGATATTGGAGTTGGATAAGTGAAGGCACAGAAGGTATTATTTGTCTTCTGCATCCATTTTTAAATATTTCTTACGTGATTTTAGTAAGAAAGGAAGTGTGTTTATGCGGCTTTAAAATAATCTAACAAGTTTGACTATTTGCTCTCAAAGTTTATAAACTAGAATCTCATTTAGTGTAAATCAACTTAACTTGAACGACTTAAAAACTAAGTGATGTTAATCACACAAGGCTCTGAGCCCTCCATGAGTTGCTTTTTAAAGCAGATATAATGTGTGCTTTTACATTGCCTACTGTTTGCAGGTATTTGTATTCTGGATCTTTGCATGTGGCATAGGCTTCCATCTAAGAAACTGCTTGTTCTCTCCATTTTATTCAGGGTTCTAGGAAAGCAGCTCCTAGTGCCAAAGGATGAAGGCTTTCAGCATTTTCAGAGCAGAAATGATGCCTGTGTGGATGTTAAGTGTCTTCCCGGCCTCTGTGAATATACTAGTAATTCAAAAGAGTATGTTTGTTTTTTTTTTTAAGTTTTCCTTTTCGTCTTCCCTCCTTCAGAAGTATGTACAAATACTACTTTTGTATTACTGAAATATATCAGTATAATTAAATATGTACTTTCTTCTTTCTTTGAATGCTTAATTCTCATTTTGTTGATATTTTTTTCAGGCTCTGCATTTCAGGCTCTAAACTGATCCCAACAGCATCTCCAATACATAAATCACTGGATTCAAGTTCCACTAGGATTTCTGACTCAGCCATGTATTCCTTCCTGGAAGAAGAAATCTACGATATGGATGGAAAAATAGAAGAATATCTTGCCTTTGACAGCAAGGAACTGTAAATAACAGATATATGTATTTTTGAAGAATATAATGAAAAAATACCATTGAACCCAGTCAGGGTTCATAAATTGTGTTTCTCTTCTGTAAGATACAGTTCCTTCTGTCCCTGTGTTTGGTAGCACAGTGGTCAGAGCACTCACTGAGCATGTGGAAGATTAGGTATGTTGTCTTTCTAGTGGTTCAAAACTCACATCTTCCATGTCAGAGGAATGTGTCTTAACCACTAGTTGTTTTGAGGTGTTTGGTGCATGGATTCAGTAAAAAGAATATTTAATTTTGAGATGGGGTAGAATTAAGGCATCCTTCTCCCCAAGTGAGTGCCTTGAGCAGCAGCTTTTTTAGGGTCATTATATTGTACATTCTCTTATTGTCTGCCCTGATAAAAGAATCTTAAATTCTTTCAGTGCAGTATCACAGCTTTGTGAGGAGACCTGCTGGTTGCAGCCTGCATTCAGAGCTTTGTGAGGGACAGGAGTCAGTTATTTTCTTGACAGTCAGCCTAGGTTTCCTGTGAGCCGGTTGAATGTTCCAGCAGCTAGGCTACTGGGTGGATGAAAGATCATTATGTACTGTTTCCTAAAAGGCCTCTATGAGGGGAAAACTTTGGTAAGACTAGTTGGGCACGAAGCATAGCTTTTTGTGCTAAGGCCTTATACACATTCAGGACAAAGACATGGTTGTTCTGAAAACCCGAGGAACCAAACTGACACCCTTTCAGTCCTGTTTTTGAAGAGAGGGCCGAGGTTACAAGCCTTTGATACTCTCAGTATCTTCTAATATACTCTTAGTATTCTTCTCTCCCCATTTTGCTAAGTAAGCAAATTTAATTTGGGAGGGAGACTTGTCTGAGGGTGTGTTTCTCTCTGTGCCTTCTTCATATGCCTCTTGTTTCCTTCAACCCTGAAATACCTTGTTCTCCATAACTAAAACATTAGGCATTAAAAAACTTGATATGGAAATAGCTTGGTCATATTGTGATTTGGACCACTCAGCCACGTTTCAGTTATAGTTAAGAATTATGCAGTTAAGTTTGAGGAAGAAGTGACTGAGAAGAGAGATAGTATGTTGGACTCATCTTTATGATTTCAAAAAAAATACATTCCTTAGAAAGAAATATGATGGCATTAGAAAAAGAAAAAGGTTAAAACTTCCTTCTTGAGAGGTGTATTAGAAGGCCAAGTTAAGAAATGTTGCTGCAGTGTGCTGTCCAAAGTAGGGAGGAAAGAGGAAAAAAAAACCAAACCAAAAAAAACATAATCATCCTCACAGTAGTGGAAAGGAAGAAGGTATGTGTAAGGCTATGTGCTCTGCTATTCTCGTCAGACTGCAGAAATCCTTTAAAGTTGTTTTGTCTGATCAGTGGTGGAGTACTGCATATGTGTGCAGGTACATAGGGCATGGTAAAAAAAGAAATATTCTATGTTTTAGTCCTCCTGACAAATGCAACAGATAATAGTTCATTTATGTTACTGTAAAAAGTATAGGATTTAGTCTCAAATTACTATGTGCCATGTATAAAGCTGTTTCCTAGAGCTGCAGGTCTTTCTGTTGTAATGCCCTGATGGGATTTTTTTAATTTTTCAACTGCAAGCAAAAAAAAAGAGAAATCATTGTATGTGTAAGATAGGTTCAGTTCCTATGGGTGCATATGAATTTTTTGGTGATCTACAGCTGACCGCCTTTTCTTCTGTATTTAAGTTTCTGTATTGGAAGGAAGGGAAAAAAAGGCAAAACCCATGAGTTCTTTTGAATTTGTTTTCTTTATTAGTGATGATGAGAGTTGGGAACAAAAGAAGATATGTCTCTCTGAGAAGAGGAGTAAGCGTGGCATTCCCCCTGTTTCTCCCAATGCCTGTATCAAAGATGCTGTGGCTTGTGAAGTATTTGATCATGTCTGGAACAGTGTCATTGGAATATTGGAGGAACTGATTAAAAAAAATTGGGAAATTAGTATCCCAGGTATCTGATATTTTCAAATATGGTATTTATTGAATCTAACTCAGAAAAGTGATTCTCCCTTACCCCTTAAAATAACCAAGTTTTCCAAGCTTTATTAAAGATAACCAGTGCTGGACCACTGTAAGATATGTAATGCCTTGCCAGGAGAATGCACACACACACACACACACACACACACACACACACACACACACACACACACACACACACAGAGACACACACATATTTAGGTATGTGTCTAAAATAAATAAAATAAAAACTTCTTTACTAATTTTCAGGGAGTTTTTTATGAGAGGTGAAAAAAAAAAGGAAAAATACTGACTGAAATAGCTTCGTTTCATGAGAGCATGTTTAAAAAAATAAAAATCACTGGCTTGAGATGCAAATTAATGCTGTTAGCAGGGGGTCAGTGACGATGTGATGTGAATCTGGAACCTAGGAATCAAAGTCTCCTAGTCCTCATTATTTGAACTTTGTTAATAAAAGGAATCCTTAGGTAGGAGATAGACAGTCTTGCTGATGTTAGGAGTTCCTGAGTTTACTATGAGATAAAGAAATGGATGTAATTTTATTTTATGTTTTCATATTCTATCAGACTGTAGCAAGGAAAATTAACTGGATGTGAAAATCTATTTATTGTGCATATATTGTCTTTGGAGACTGAGGGAAATTTCTGTTCTTTCAATGTATTTTGAAAGGACAGTAATAGAAGAATACCTGAGGAGGTTTTGGAAGTTACCTCAGGTATAAAGTACACTCAACCTCAAATATAAGAGTATAACAAAGTAAGAAATGGCAAAATTTCTCAGAATGCTTGCAGCATTGGAATTTAACATTTCAGCTGTTACTGAAGTATAAAAGTTCCTTTCAAACCACAAATGTATTGTTTAGCTCTCAATATTTTAGTTTAGGGGGGATAGCTTAGCAGTATTATGATAGGTTTGCTCTTTTGTCTTTTTGAAGGTTATAAACTTATGACAAAGCTAGTTACCAAAGTATCTCAACTAGGAAGGAAAAGAGTTTGTATTTATAAGTGAAATAAGATGATAATTTATACCCAAAATGAAACACCGTGTAGCTGCTGTCAGACAAGGATACTATCAATAGACTTTTTGTTTAATATATATTTTTAATTTTTTTTTTGCTGCTTAAAAAGAAAAATCTTTGGGGATTTTTAAATAACATTTCAAAAGTCTCCAGCTCTAACTGTATAGAGAAATGTGTATGTCAGTGTCAGAGAAAGCATAAACAAATGGGAATGCTTTTAGAAAACATCATTTATGGTAGATTTTTAAATAACATGGAAACTTAAAAAGATATGAAAGTCTTTATTTACTGTGAAGTGTAATATTTTTTGAACCCCAACAAAGGATGACTAGTAAATAGAAAACTCCTCTTACCACATCTACTTTTTTTGCTGTTGTGCAGAGTGTGACAAAAAATTGGAAAAACTGAAAACTGTTACAGTAAAATTACCACATTTGCCAGCCATTCATATTATAACAGATACTGGGAGCATTCCTCTTTCCAGAGGCTCTGAAGCACGAAGTGTATCTTTTGGGCCTCATTCTGTTTCATCACAGGTAAAAATAAAACATAACTTTCTGTCAAATGGTGTTTTTTTTTTTTTGCAAACCATGGACAGTCTTGATTGAAACTTGAAAAGGCTCTTTTTTTCCCCCATTTTGTTTTTCTTATACCAATTAGGTGTGCTTAAAGTTATATGATTTAAAATGAGGGGTAATTAAATGAGCATTTTGTGTTTGTTGTCACTTGTTTTTCTTTGGTGGTTCTTAACAGTGCCATTTACCACTACGATATTGCTCCAGTTGCTTTAGCAACTTAGTCTTGTTAGACTGTATTTTGTCCTAGACTGTATTCTGTCCTTAAGTTTGCTTTATTGTGGTCTAGTCATTTCTTCTTGGTAGAATTAAGAACTCAAACTGGGCTTTTCCCTGGACTGCAGGGATGTGAAGTTGCAACTTCTTTTTCTCTGCAGTACATCCACCAGCACGTTGGCACTAGCCTTAACCATCTGTGGAAGCTCATGTTTATACTGATAAAATGTGCTGTTTTGTCCTGCTTGCTGCCTCTTCCCTCTGTCACCTGTTTTGCATGTACGTTTCCTTTGAAAATTACATAGTTGCACCGTCTACTGCTGAGAATTCTATTAAACCATCTTAGTAGAAACTTTTCTAAAATGCAAGTAAAATATCTCTTAACTATGTGCTTTTGGAGGTCTTCCTTCAAAAAATATAAAGGTTAACGCATAATTATTGCTTTTAATAGGTTCAACGTTTCTCCAGTAACTTCTGTAGCGATTTGAATGGTGTGATGACAATTCAAGCAAAACCTCTCCAACAGAGACATGTTGCCAGAGTAGAAAAAATACAGTAGGTTTTGATATTGACATTTTCAAAATGTGACATAATTCACACTGCAAAAAAAATGTTTTGCAATTGGAAAAAGGCAATAAAAAGGCAGTGATTTTGTTTGTATATATCACTGATGTGATAGTGATTTGCAGAGGTTGCAAGGATATGCTGTTAAATCCTTTTATCTATTGACCCTCATTCATTATTTCTTTCTCTTTCCCTAGGAATGAGCAAGAAGACAAACAGCAAAGCGCTGCCTCTAGTGCTCCAAATTCAGCACATACTAGGTTGGGGAGAATTTCTGATAATAGTGTTCTGTCGTCATCTCGGGCACTGCTGGCATCTTCTAGGAAACAACCAAACCATCGGAGGTTACCTTCTCTCACATCTGACCAACTCTGCTCAAAAGTTCCTAATACATACAGTGAGGAAATTCTAAGAGGGACGAAATTGTGAGTTTTTAATTTTATTCTCTGGTTTTCTGAGAACTTTACTGAAATTTCACCAATGCAGGATTTTGCAAAATAATTGAAAACTGAGCCATGATTTGTTATTAATTGTGGAATTTAGAGAGAAAAAGAAAGTAAGCCAAACCATGCTTTTTTGAGGAAAGGGATTTGTTTTGTTTTGTAATTGCTGTATTAGGTGCTGTTATGTTTTGTAGCCAAGCTCTATAAAGAAATATACTACTTTATAATTTCATATTGCTTCAGTGAAGAAGTCCATAATATGAATTTTCCTAAAGCAAGAACACCTAAAATTCTGTAGGGTTGCCAGCTCAGATCGTTTGTCTTCTGCTCGAGCACCTGCAACCCGGAACAAGTTACCACCTATAAATTCTGAGGCTGTTGAACAATATCTTTCAGTACCTCGACTGCAACAGAACTCTGTAAGTTGTGTTAATTTTTGTTCTGGTGAAGAACTTCAAGCTATTTAGAAATAAATTGCTCTGCGTCACTGGTTGAAAGGAGCAGTTTTACAGTTTGTTTTGGTTCGTATTTCATGGATGGTTTTAACATGCTAATGTGAATTACATTGGGGTATCATTACAATGCAAGAGAAACCAGTTTAAAACCTCAGGTCACAAAGAGATCATGGTGGAAAGACTTCTCTGACAACAGGAAAATCTGGTTAAAAAATAGAAAAATGACAAATCAACAAGGTGGTAACCTTGCACAGTTATGCATCCGGATTTAGAAGGCTCCTTTCGATGTTTTATTCATTAATGTTAGGTTATAAGAAGTGGAAGATTATGCTGACTGAAGTAGAAAAGGATACCAATTGAACAAAACATATCTTACTGTACTGGCCTATTTTTGAAGGTTAGGGAAGTCGTAAATTACCAGAATGAAAGTAGATTGGCATGTTGATATTACCATTCTTCTGAATAATATTTTGAATTGAGACAAATGTAACTGTCTCAATAATCCTTTATTATTTTAATTAATATAAGCCTTTGGGAATTTATTAATATTACGAACAGTCTCACATCTGCTTGAAGAACATGAGAACCCTTAAATTGGTGCTTTTGGTTAGTGAAAACATATTTTTATTTTCTCCTTGTGTTCTTTTGTGTGGCAACAGCAAAAAAAAATTTTAACTGATTCAGTTGCTGCATTCTCTTAATTTTTTTTTTTTTTTTTTATTCTCTCAGCATCAAGGACGATATGCTCTTAGCAGAGTGTCAAGTGCAGTGCCTGGCAGGACAGAGCAACCGCCACTCAGAGAAAGAACTGTTACTGTTAATCAATTTTCAAGGCCCAACACAACTCATACATTCAGGGTATGTTGCAATATAAGTAGAGATGTCAAAAGGAAGATTCTTTCATTCATGCCCACTGTTGATCTACAGAAGGTCTCATTTCTGGATCTCTCCTGACTTCTGATGTACAGGGGTTCTTGCTGCCTGGAGAGAGGAGAATGTTAAAAGTCTTGGAGAGGGTGTGGGACTATTGTATGAGGAAGAATTTTTTTTCAAGCCTAATGCATCAAACTGTTCCTTTGAGGGTTGTGTGTATGTTAGAGGTGTTCAGTCTTCCTTTGAGGGAGTCTGTGTGCTAGAGGTGTGCAGTTTTAGTGCTGCTTGGAGCTTTGCACTTTGGTAGGATTCAGTCTGCTGGATTAGGTCATAAAAACCATTATCAAACCATTTCAGTAGATAAGTGTATCACAGTAGTTAATAGTGTATCTGCCCTCTTTACAGAGAGACACATCTCAGAAGAGATCACTGACTCCCATGGATATTGCTAACCACAGAGGGATGGATCAAGGATTTTTGATAACAGGTAGGCAAAGTAAGAATCTCTTGGAAGGCAAAAGGCCAGAAAAGTCTATGAAGCCATCATACAGTTAAAAAGTGAAGTGCTCAGGAGGAGCCATCTTGGCATGAAAGAACAAGTGTGCTTGACAGGATCTTTTGAGTTTGGTTTTGAAGTTTCTTCTTACTTGGTCTGAGGTAGTCCTAACTGATGGGTAGGAATCCTGTAAAGCTTCCTCATCTTGTCTCTCTTTTTTACAATTATGGCAAGAGTATGGGGTATACACATGTATATGCTAGATATTTTTGCAGCTGCTACAGTAGTAACACACATTCATGCTTGTGAGCTGTTCATGAGAAATTTTACTTCAGCCCCCAAGTTTGTAAACTTTTTATGTGACAAAAAATTTAAAATATGCATTTTTAATAGAAGTATAAAGCTCTCTTAAATTAAAAAAAAAAATCAATATTGACTTGCAACTGTATCTTTCAATTATAATACCAAAAAGAAAGCAACCCTGTGTGGCTCATTTTATTTCATTTTTACAATAAAGCTGACTAGCTAATTCCTGGCTTATTTTGAGTCCTTTTATATAACCCTTACTTGTTTGGAAGTTTCTAGAGTTTAAACATTTATATAATTGACATAATTATATAAAAGGTGATGTAAAAATAAGGGTAGGTTAGCAAACATTGATCTGAGCAGACTAGTGGTAACTCACACATAAACTTGGAGTGTCTTTCAGAAACTATGACAATTAACAGTGTTTTATATTTTCCAGGCTCACAGCATCACTACAGATCTGTTCAGAGAAATCCTTCAACCTCAAAAAAGAGATTTCAGATTGCTTCTTAACCCATTCTAGGAAGAAACAGAAGCCCTCTGCGCTGAATGACTGAGCGAAGCACTAAATTTGCCTCCTAGTATCTTTGTGTAATAAAGAAGGTGTGCAGTATGCTGGTGTTTACTGAGCCTTGCTATCTTCAGGATGCCTGCATTGCCTTCTTTTAAAATTGTCTGACCAGAGGTTAGATTAAAAAATAGAGCAAAATGAAATAAATGGTTGAGGAGTCTTCTCTGTTTGCAGCGTCAAGATGCTGCTGTTGCACTTTCTTCTCAGGCATTCCTCCTTTTTCTGTCTTTCATAGGAAATTGTTATTCTATGTATAGAAGTGAGTAAGTTACCTTGAGGCCATAAAGTCCTGCTCCCAGATTTTTGTTTTGCTCAGTGTTAAAGATGTTCTAGTCTATGTAAACATCAGTCATATATAAAATTTATACTTTTAAACAAGAGTTTGCAGTACTTCCTCCTTAATCACTGTTTCAACATTTCTCTATTTTTCTGCTTACTGCAGTTGGTTTCTTACAAATACTGCCTGTCCCTAGTTTTTCTTTATCCTTTAATTCTTTTGTAATGGAATTCATTCATTGCTTTTGTTTACACTGTTCTAGTCATCAATTACTATGGGAACTGCTGGGATAAACTTTTTTTACAGGAAATGATTTTTTCCCTGCCAGTCTGAACATGTTTATAGATGCCGAGCAATTGAACCAGCATCCTGACAAGTCTGTAAGACTGTTCCCACTTCTTGAGATTTCTTATAAAATATGTTATTGTACAAATTAATCATCTTTGAAATATGTGAGCCTTAAGGAAGAAAATATTTACTTAACTGATGAAAGCATTATTTCGTACCTCTTTGTGTAGACCCAAATGGGAAGATCTAAAAGGAGACTGGAATTGTGTTCTGTCTAGGAAACAAAGCACTGCTCAGATCCCTGGCTATTAGTACTGTGAGCATTCACAGTCAGGGATTCCTCCTTCCATCAGAGAGCCAGTAGTTGAAGCAGATGCATTTGAAGTGCTGTCGAAATGAAAAGGAAGGATGAGAAAAAGTTACTTGCCCAAATTTTGCAGTTAAGATAGTAACAGTTTTTTCTTCTCCTTGGGAACTAATACCAGTTATCCTCAGTTTTTGTGAATGTTCAAGGATTGATAATCCAAGGCACAAAGCATTTGTAATGTATATTTTATGTCTATACTGTTAATCAGATTTCTGATTTTTGTAAATGCACTTTTTATAAGCACTGTATTCTTTTGAATACTGGCTTAGTATTTGTCTTTGACTTACATTAAGTTCACTCAGTGGTGATGGTATGGTATAGTATTTGAAAAAGCAGAATGCTTAAACTTTGCAGTTGCAGAGCAATTTCATACAGTTGCAGATCAATCTGATGGAGTTGCTTCAGAAATCTCACATCAATGAGGATTTCCAAAATTCCAAAATTAATGTCTTCAGCAGCATGTCCAAACTATACTTTTGCTCTTGTGAGTGCTCCCTCCTGTATTGTACAGACCTTAACAAGAATGCAGAGAAGCGATGGCAAAATGTGTCCCTTTCCATCTTGTACTTTGCATTTCATAGCAATGCAAATCTTATGTTGTGGACTAAATGAAAAGATGAACATGCACTGTTTGATTCTGTAACAACAGAAGTGAGAACCACTGAACCACTGAGGAGTGGTTCATCATCTGGCCCTTTGCGAAAGAGAGAAGATTACTGACATCTGTGAAGCAATGGAGCTCAGTCAGTGGACTTCTATATCATTTTCTATATGGAGAGAAGAGCAGAACAGCAGTCCACTAATTACTAGAACCGCAACAGAATGCTCTCAGCTGGCAGGAGAGAAGGAAGAGGAATGTTTGCTGTCTACCAGAAGTATTTTAACACTTTTGCCTTTTGGTCAGCATTGGGCACCTGACAGAATCACTGTCATCTTACATCCTGATCATCATCATCATATCATTGACTCATTCCATGTTGGAAGGGACCTCAAGGATCATTTAGTCCAATCTTTAATGGCTGTGGCTTTAACAGTCTAGACAAGATGGCCCAGCACCCTGTCCAGCAGAATCTGAAGTGTCCACTGTTGGGGAATCCACAATTTCCCATATAGTGGGATCATTCCACTGGCTGATTGTTCTCATAATGAAAAATTTTCTTTTTGTATCCAATCAGAATCTTCCCAGGTATGACTTGCACCCATCACCCCTTGCTTTTTCCATATAATCCCTTACAAAAAGGGAATCTCCATCTTCTTTGTATGTACCCTTGAAATACAAGGGCATGGTGATAAGGTGTCCTCTAAGCTTCTTTTCTCCAGGCTGGACAAACCAACTTCTTTCAGACTTTCCTTCCACAGCAGACTTCTTAGTCCTTTAGTCATCTTTGTGGCTCTTCACCTTATGCAGTCTGTCCAAATCTTTCTTGTGTAGCAGGGACCAAAACTGAACACAATGTTCTAGGTGTGGCCTGACCAGCACTGTGTAAAGTGCTGATGATAAAGTGATTTCTTTATTTCTGCTGGTGATGTCCTTGTTGATGCAACCCAGCACTGTGTTGGCTTTCTTTACTGCAGCAGCAAACTCTTCCCTTATACTGAGCTGTTTGTCCACTGGTACCATCAGGTCACTTTCCATAGAGCTGCTCTCCAGCCAGGTAGGTCACAGCCAATGCTGCTCTTCCTAGACTATATTTTCCCAAATGCATGATCTTAGCATGTCTTTGTTGAACTTCATCAGGTTGCTAACCTACTCTTCCAACCTATCCAGGTCTTCCTGCAGGATGCCTCTCCCTTCCAAAGTGTCCACTTCCCCACTTAGGTTGGTATTGTTGGTGAACTTCATTAGGGTACACTTGATCCCATCATCCAAATCACTGATGAAAATATTAAACAGTTTTGTACTAGTATCAATCCCTGGGGGACTCCACTTGTGACAATTGCCTGTTTGAAAAGGAGCTATTTACACCACCCTATGGGTGTGGCTGGTCAGCCAATTCCTCACCCGCCATGTGGAGCACTTGTCCAGATCATCACACATCAGATTCTGTGGGAAGAAGCTGTAGGAAATCATATCAGAGCCTGGGAGATACTCAGGTAGGCAGTGTCCCCTGCTTGTTCTGTATCAACTGAGCAGGTTACTTTGTTGTAAAAGGCAATCGACTTTGTCAAGCACAATTTGCTCTTCATAAATCCATGCTGGCTTTTCTTAATCACATGCTTCATTAGACTTGTGACAGCTCCTAGGAGAATTTGTTCCATAAGTTTGCCAGGGACCAGACTAAGACCAATGGACCTGCCATTTCCTGCATCCTCCTTTAAGTCCTTCTTGTAGATGGGATTGACATTAACCTTCTTTTAGTCTTCTGGGATGTCTCCTGAACACCCACAACTTCTCAAAGATTATGAAGAGTGGCCTTGTGCCATGTCAGCCAGCTCTCTTAACACCCTTGTTGGGTATTGTCAGAGCCCATTAATCTGTAGGGGTCAAGCTCCTGTAATAGTTCACGTACCAACCCTTCCTTTACCTGTGGTGGGTCTGTGTTTGCATCAGCCAGGATTTTTGTTCCTAAGGCCTGGTGCTGGAAAGGATATAGGTGAAGAAAGTACCTCTGCCTTTTCAGACTTGATGGTGACTAATTCATCTCTCCTGTTTAACAGCAGACAAATATTTTCCATCTGTCTCTGCTTGTTGTTTAAGTACCTGTCCTGGTTTCAGCTGGCACAGAGTTTATTTTCTTCCTAGTAGCTGGCAGAGTGCTCTATTTTGAATTTGGTATGAGAATAATGTTGATAACGCCCTGATGTTCTGTTTGTTGCTAAGTTGTGTTTGCCCCACATCAAGGACTTTTCAGCGTCCCATACTCTGCCAGTGAGGAGATCCACAAGAAGCTGTGAGGGAGCACGGCCAGAACAGCGAACCCTGACTGCCCAGAGGGATATTGCATACCACAGAATGTCCTGCACAGTATATGAACTGGTGGGAGTTGGCTGGGAGAGGCCCATCGCTGCTTGGGGGTGGATTGGGGATTGATCAGCAGGTGGTGAGTGACTGTATTATGCATCAGTTGTGTTTCTTGGGTTTTATTCCTCTCTGTTTCCTATTTTTGTTTTACTTTACTGTACTTCAATCATTAAACTGTTCTTAACCAGTGGGTTTTATCTTTGTTCTGATACTCCTCTCCATCCCATTGGAGTGGGGTGTCTGCATGGGACTTAACTGTGCTGGGGTTAAGCCATGATAGTATCTGAAGATTCCGTTCTTCTAGTTTTCAACATCTCTGACTAGTTTCAACTTGAGCTGAGCTTTTGCTTTTCTAACTGCATCTCTGCACACCCTTGCAATGCCCTTGCACTTACTTGGATGTAATCCTGAAGCCCAAAAGAAGGTTCAAAGAGAACTGGATGAGATGTTTGGTAAGTTTTCCATTCCTCTTTTATCAAGATTGAATAAATGGAAGCAGGAATGTGACATGTGGCCATTCAAGATGCTTTAAGTAGATAGAAGTGGTTGGGATGGGTGCTAGAAGGTACAGGAGAGAGTACTGAGAAAGTTTGCCAAGTAGAGGGTAGGGGTTTTCTCTTTTTTTACAGTGAAGCAGTTATAGATAGTCACTAATTTGCTATCATTTTGAACCTTCTCCGTTTTACTTTTTTTCCTTAGGAAGATATCAAGTACTGAATGGCACAAATATTCAGATCATAACTTATGCCGTACACAGAAACCCCAAGATCTTCCCTGACCTGGAGGAGTTCAGGCCTGAGCAATTCTTCCCTGAAAATTTTAATGGTAAACATAAACACCTGTATGCTTTCCAAATATTTAATGTTGATAGTTTGCATGCATCCATCGCTTTGTACTGACATTTCTGGTCTCACTAGGGGTGATGTGGAGGAATTTTCACACCCATTTTCTCCTTGCAATGGTTTTATGGTAGGCTTTTCAGCTGAGTGTACATGTCAAGGTGTTAGTAGTGGGGCTGCTGTTCATATGACCTCTGTGAGAAAAAAACTGAGAAGAGAACACACAGTTCCTGCTGGCTCTGTGATGGACCTGCTGCAGGACACAGCTGAGCCCAGCGGCCAAACCAGTGGCATCTCTTGAAAATGTATTTATAAAAGTGTGCAAAAAAATGCTGAACAGGCAGAGGAGGATGGGGAGGGGAAAAAGAGTAAAACAGCAGTGCAAACACCAAGGTCAGTGAAGGTGGAGGAGGAATTACTCTAGACACTAGAGCAATGATTCCCTAGCAGCCTGTGGAGCATACTGGAGCAGGTTTATCCACAAGAGCTGCAGCCATGGAGGGCACCTATGCTGGAGCAGGAGAAAAGGGTGAGGAGGGAGCAGCAGAGGGGAATTTTTGTCTTTGTTTCTAACTTCCTAAGTCTGTATTTTTTTTAATTGTCTATATATTAAATAAAATTTACCGAGTTGACTCTGTTTTGCTCATGATGGTAACTAATAAGCAATCTTCCAGTCTTTATCTTCACCCATAAGCATTTGCATCCTGTTGAGGGTGCAGAGTGAATGGGTGGGTGTCTGACTGCTGGACAAGGCTAACTTACCTTAGCTTCTAACAGGCTGTACAGGTATGACTGTGTTACAGGCAGGCACATCAAATGTGGGCAAGGAATTTCCTAGAGCAAATGTTGACACCAAATCTTCCATATTGCAGGAATGCAGGTAGCAGATTTTTAGTGCTGTGTGTTTCTGTGACCCACATCACAAGTTTTTCGCAATCTTAAGCTGTCCCATTTATTAATTCTCCATGACCTCTAGCTTTATTCATGTAATGTGTAGCATACTGCTGAATGCTTTATTTAAACTTGCTGGAGTTTAGCAAGGAGGAGGCCCTGTAGGATCTAGACAAACAACAGAACAGTGGGCGGAATCTCAAATTGTGACCATGCAGGAGTTGTGATCATCCAACTTGGCAGTGTGCATTTTCCTTGACACGTTGATGCGTAAATATAGGTGTGGTGCTTTGGTAGCTACTTAGCATTATTGTCTATTATTTATGACAACATAATTAATACCTTTCAGAATTGCTTTACAGCAGTAGGCTGTGTTCTGGGGGGACAAGTCGTGGTTTGCTTTGTTGTAACACATGTCATTATCCTGATAGGGAAGATTTTGGTTTCTTAGAGAGGAGTCAGACTTCTGTATTCTGTTGGGGATTATTCATTCATGCAAAATGTCTCAAGCTAAGGATCCCAAAATGATGGCTACAGAAAAGAGCAGTTGTTGCAGTACAGTGAACGCCAGGTTGCAGAAACCAAGCAGGCTATGCCTGATGGAGGTGGGCGTCACTACAATCAATCTGTCTTTGGAAAACATAGCTGTGGTGTCTGTCTCTCAAATGCTGTTCATCTCCTCTACTTCTGTGAGAAAGCATCCTCAGAAGGATTTGAAGCTGTAGATTTTTGGGCTACAGTGACATGAAATGTAGCATCAGGCCCTAAAATGCTTCTCTGAGGACTAGGGGAGATCTCTGAGTTGTCCAGCACTGATGATATGCTTTGAAGTGGAGACATGCTGTGCTTTTTTTTTTTTTTTTTTTTTTTTTTTTTTTTTTTTTTTTGTGTAGGTGATGACTGTTGGGGACTACAAATAGCCTGGATTTTTTAGAGTGACTTTCTACATGATAATTAATCATGCATGTTGTGATGGTGTATGTTGAGGAAGAGAGAAGCTCTTACTAAGAAAAACTTTCCTTAAGAAAAAACCACAGCTTTTCAGAATGAGTTGTGTACTTTTTTCCTTCTGTTGTATCAGATTCATTTTAGCTTTGCTTTTCTTGGGTTTATGTTTTACTTGTTGTTAATGATGATTTTATTGCTGTCTTTATTGAAGAATCCAGGCTGCGTTCTGGGCACCAGCAGAGGCCTGTGTTGTCATTGGTGCCTCTGGGCTTACACAGCTGCCTAACAGGAAGCATGCCTTTTGTCAGCATGGGCAGATAGGCTTCCACTTAAGTAAGAGGCTGAATAAAAGCAGGTTTGCACTTTTGTGTGCATCTATGAAAGCAAAGATTCACTAACCAGTGGAATGCTCACAGAAATCCAACACTGAGCAAATAGCTCTCTGAAACTCCTCTCCTATGGAATTTCCTCCAAGGTTTGCAAGTCTCAGTGACATAATTAGGCCTCAAAGATGCCAAAACTCTCATTTCTTTTTTCTTTTACATCTCATTCCAGTGTTGCTGTTGCCTTTTGTTAGCAGCATAACCGTTGCCAACTGCTGGCACGATTTTGTAATGTTTGTTCTGCTCTGTTCCCTACTGCTTTCCCTGTGGCTTTTCACCTTCTCCCTGCTGTTTTTTTTTTTTTTTTTTTTTTTTTTTTTTTTTTTTTTTTTTTTTTTTTTTTTTTTTTTTTTTTTTTTTTTTTTTTTTTTTTTTTTTTTTTTTTTTTTTTTTTTTTTTTTTTTTTTTTTTTTTTTCTGCAGAAGTAGTTATCAAGAGTTAGAAACACGGATCTTTGTCTCAGAATCACAATTAGCCACTTCATCTAATTATCAGCCCCATGAAGGCAACAAACTGCAAGGTTTTTTCTAAAGATGAGAGCATAATTACTCAGCTGATCTCCATAATAAAAAGACAAAAAGTGAACCTCTTCATCCTGCATGCTGACTCACTTCCTAGGATGTCACCTGGACAAAAGGGAGAACTGATGGCTATGTAGCTTGGCTTGTGTGTTGGCAAGACAGGGTATGTATCTGCTGCTTTCTGTCACAAACCATTACATACAACAGCAAGAGTAGCAAAGTTCGTTTCCAGCTGTTTACTGTGCATAAAGATACAACAGTCAGCATTTAAGATAAAGTTTTTCTGGGAGATTACAGGAACAAAGTACCAAAATTTAATCCTCTCTGCTGCCAAGGGTCATGAAAATCTTACTTAACTTTTGATATTCTAAGCCTTCTGTTTGTGTTTTTTGTCTTAGTTGTTATGTTTATGCTGTTTGTTTATTTAGTAAAAATGCTGATGTAGTCAGTGCAATCATTTTTGACATGAAGCAAACAGGCTGAGTGTGACTGTGGCTATAGGTAGCTTCTGTGCTGTATTCAGAGGGTGAAGTTTTGTGAATTGCCTGTGAGCTATGCTGTCTCTTTACCAAACTTCAGTTTGACCACAAAGTTTCTGAGCACTTACTTTGATGAACAGATGCTCAATAGCCTTGCAGCAGTGAGAAGAGACTCTGGGTCCTCCTGAGGCAGGAAGGGCAGCAGTGTATATGGTGGATGCGGTACTGCATCTACACAAGCACTTTGCAAGTTGTGGCACAGATGCTGGTGCTGTCAGTTGTGTTACTGGCACCCTTTAGCCTGTGCCTGAGCATTGAACAGTGAGATCAGTAAAGGCCATTTGAGCTGAGAGGCATCAGTGTGCTTTGCAGTGCTGCTCTTGATCATGGGTGTGTATGGGCTCTGGTTTGGGTAACTCCCTGAAACCATCAACCCAACCGAAGCTTAAAGGTACTTTCCATCTCACTCTTCAGTCATTGTGTTGGACAGCAGTGGACCAGCTCAGTTCTGCATGGCAAAATAGTGTTTTCTGAGCACCTGGAAACACATGGAGAAAGATGATCCTGAGAAAACTCATCCTTCCCAAATCAGCAAAAATGTGTTTTTTCTCTTGACAGTGCGTTATGTCTTTTCCTACTGAGGTATTGCAAAGAACTTTCTCACTCTTCACTTGAGTCAGAGGAGTGAAGTGAGGGCAGGGAAGGAGCACTGTTCCCTCTAGCTTCTCTGCCATTAAGAAATGCTTGCAGGCAGCCTCTCTGTGTGCATGTTTTTTTAAATCTGTTTATTTTCCTGGCAAGCAGCTGCGCCTGTGGCCTTTATGACCACAGGCTCCACCTCCTGTTCTCCTGGCCAAATTCCCCGCACATTCAGCTTGGTGCAGAGGCACTGCCGGGTAGCCAGTTCCGCAGCAGGGATCAAGGCTCGCAGCAGGAGGCTGAGAGGCGATGATGGAGATCGTGCAAGGATCCATGGAGAGACTCCAGCTGCTGCCCTTGGGGGCTGGGGTCATCACTCTGTTGTTGACAGTTGTGGTTTTATGCTCCCTGCCCGCCCTGATGACTTACTTGAGGCAATGGTGGATGATGAAGTCAGTCCCAGGTGTCAGCCCCTGCTATCCTGTCGTGGGAAATGCTCTGCTCTTCGAGCAGGATGGAGAAGGTAAGGCCAACTCATGCTGTAGCCCAGCTATGAGGTCCCTGCACTGTGTGAGGTTTGCTGGAGAAGCCAGTGCTGGTGAGGTGCTTGTGTGTTTGAGCTGTGGCTGGCTGGGGAAGGGGAATGGGAGATCAAAGGTGTGCTGATGCCTTTAGCTCTCTTTGGGGCTATGGGCAATCTGCAGAGGGGAACTGTGTGAGGAGTAGGCAGTGAAGGGGAAAGCAGACAAACTGCATAAATGTAGCATTATTATCAGCCAGAGATTAACTGAAAATTCAATCTGACAGCAGCTTCCAGATGCTGATGCTGGACTGAGATGGTTGCAGTTGTTGGTAGGGTGGAGGATGAGTGCTGTGGAATGTGTTTTTCCAACAGAGAGGCATGCTGAGGGCTCTTGCAGGAAGTGCTATTTCCCAAAGCGGAACACTGTGTTCTCATGACTGTTAGCTGTGATCCAAACAAGCTTAAACAATTCTCTTTCCAGAAGTGAGCATGTGCAAGGGACTTTACCATGTTGAGTTGCTGGGTCACTTTCAGAATGAGCTGTGACTTACATGTGTTAGATGCAAAAGAACTTGATGAGTATTCACAGTACATCCCTCAAAAGCAAACTTTTCTGTTCTTGCACTCATTAATGGGGCCTTCTTTTTTGCCAGGTACATGGGAGAGCACTAATGTGCTAGATGTTCCCTTTCCATTTGGTACTTGTTTTTTAACAGGAGCATATTTCTTAAGGAGTCTGTGGTGTGAAGGCATTGCTGGCTGTGCTGTCAGTGGTCCAGATGCTTCTGTGTGTCTTTGTGATGCCTCTTTGTGCTGGTTCTGCTCTATGCACATGTGTTTCTGGCTGTGCTGCCTGGTATGCTGCCAGAAGAGAGACTATGGTGAAGTCAAGGACGATTACAGCATTGGAACACAAATTGCTCAGTGCTGACCCATGCTGAGACATGGTGCCTCTGTTCACAAGGGTATACTGTCATATATTTCCTCTGCATTCAACCTCATACCTAAATACAGGTATGAGATGTCTTTGGTGGATGTGAGGCCAAGCAGCTTTCCAGGAAGCTGGCTTTGGAGAAGCAGTAGGAGGATCATAGTTAGGATGTTTATATAACCCTGACTGAGAGATGAATCTTCTTTTCTTTTTTTTTTTTTTTTCCTCCTTCTTCTTTTTAAATTTTCTTTAAAAACCAGAACAAAACAGAGCATTGTTTCTATCTCTAGAAAGCAGTTTGATGGAGACTCTGATGTTCTGTGGAGTCTTTAATCTCATTTGTTAGCAGGAGTCACATAGCTTCCATGCTTTTGTTAAGTTAGTGTCTTTGTTCTTGTTTATTTATGTAAAAATGAGTGAAGTTTGTGCTTTATGATACTTTTCATTTAAAATGTGACAATGAAAAATGATAGCTTTTATAAAAAATGGTAAGGTTTTATAGCAGAAGAAAGAAGGGCTTTTCATATGATGGTGATTTGGTTTATTGGTATTGGTAGAAAAATACTGGAAAAACATGATATTTTAATCATGACAATGCTAGGAAAAATATTTTAAAAAATAGCAAAATAATCTGACATTCTTAAGCCTGTTGGATGAGGTACCATTAGAACTCAGACTGGGGAAAGCTGTATTTGGGCTTTGATTAGGAAACTGGTTTTTTTTCTTTTTTTTTTCCTCTGATTGGGGACCTTTGAATTTTCAACTCTGCAGAGACTTGATAGGGTATCTTTTATTGTTTAAGCTGGTTTCTGAAGGGTAGTCTTTGAATATCCTGATAGTGGCCACCACATCTAGTATTGCAGCATGAACCCGAATGTGGTCTGTGATGAGATAGCATCAGAGACCTCTTTGGATCAAATTAAACACCATCTACTGCTTCTCCCTTGCTCACAGATCCAGCTTATCTCCCATGCTTTCCGTATAACTAAACTGACAATATAAGGACTGGATGAGTGTATAATAATGTGGGAGGAGGATTGGCTGAATTGCTGACCTCAGTAGTTTGAAGTCCAACTGGCAGCTGGACAGTAGCAATATCTTTCAGGTGTTCTGTGACATAAATGATCCTATGAGTCTATGCCCTTAGAGATTAGGACATCTGAATTGTAAAATCCACAGGTGCAAAATATACTGCTTGGTCATAAAGCTTCAGCAAAACCAAAATTGCAGGACATATGGTGTAAAAGAGTTCAATACAGAAGTCTTTCTTAAGTATCATTTAATGAACGCCCTTTTTGAAAAGTTCTAATCTACTCTTTTATTCCAGGCTTTTTTAATCAACTAAAATTTTATTCTGAAGAGTTCAGGCATTTGCCGTTGTTCAAACTTTGGATAGGACCAGTGCCTGTCATGGTTTTGTATCATCCTGACAGTGTGGAGGTGAGTGTGCTGGTCTTCTGTCTATTCTACTGTCATGCAGAGCAGTATCCCTCCTGTTAGTTTGTATTAATGTACTTTTTGTTAAAAAGGACTTGGGCTGATTTTCCTTGGGATTGTCCTCTGACCCAGTGCCAAAGAAAGGCTTAAAGCAAAAGTATGTAAAAAAGCCTAGTCTGGGTGGGGAGGGGGGAGAGTTGCGGGGGGATGCTGAAGATGGCAAGCAAATGAAAGCACCAACATAATATGTTTTATCAAAGAAGCATCTCCTTTAGTTTTTTTTTTTTTTTCCACATGTGTGAAAGCTTCTGCTCCCAAGATCAGAACATATAAGCAGACATCAGGGAAGGTGGGACCACTGAAATAAGGATGGAACATTATGAAATACAGATTTCAGTGCTTGTCTCTGACTGACTTCTGCATTTGAACTTGCTGGGTCTGTCATGGGGCCATGAAATGTAATCGTTAGTTTTGGTACTGGCAGTGATTATCCTTGAACTGGTGTAGGAATAGTTGTGCTTTCAGAAGAATTTGTAATGGGAAAGCTAGAAACTCATTTTCACTTAGGAAGCCTGCAGAGTGCCTTCTGAAGAGGGTTAGATATTTTTTCTTCCCTTCTGCAGTCCAGAGTGGGTTACAGAGAGAGCTGTGTTTTCTCTCTCTCTCTCTCTCTCTCTCTCTCTCTCTCTGCTATGCTGGAGAGAGAGAACTCTAACAGTCATGTAGAGAGGTCTTGGGAAGGCAGGGAAGACAGAGAGAGGATAAAAAGGAACTTGCCTTTTTCTCCCTGGGGCCTGGTGCTGAAATAGCACTGTCAGATGCTTAAATAGCATTGTCAGGTGCAGTTTCTCGTGCTTTGGCCTTCTAAATAAACTTTGAATTCTTTTCACTGTCTTGGCATTTCTGGGGATACCTGCATAATTTACTTTACGACTGGGAAGACAAGAGTTTTCTCTCTGTTGGAGTGTTTATTGAAGAAAGAATGAAGAAATCTCTGTCTAACAAATGATATTTTTTTCCTCTCCATTAATTTTTCTGACAGGCTATTCTGAATAGTTCAAAACACATAGAAAAATCATACCTATACAAGTTCCTGCATCCATGGCTGGGCACTGGACTTCTGACGAGGTATAATGAAATGCAGGTGCATTCCTGTCTTTTTGAAATTCACGGGGTGTATAATAGGAAAGAGGTCTTGGTGGCAGGAATGCAGTGTATATCTCTGAACGAGAGATTGTGTGCATTGCTTATCTCAGCTGGAGATGCTGTAAACCAGTAGGATCAGCCTGAGGTTGGTGATGCTCTGGGGTATGATTGGAGAGTATCTGCACTCTGCCCTTCCTTTCCTTCATTAAGTGGAGGATCATAAGAAGTGATCTTAGGTAAGAACATAAGTCAGGAGTGGAGAGAGGAAAGAGCAATGATGTAAGGGTTTGGTGTCCTCCAGTCTTGGGAGGGTAAAGGAAAGTTTAGTCTGGATGATGCAGATATTCAAGAGTGAGAACAAGGCGAGGGTGCAATAGCTTTGAAGCCTTTGAGCCTCTTTTGAGTTTTTGCAAGGAGGTCAAGGTCCCCCTGTTAGTATTCACTACTTACTTTCAATACTGCTGGCTTTGCTGCTTGTTTGGAGCCCTCAAAGGTGAACTCCTTGTGCTTTATGATGGGACCGTGGTAGTGTAAATGCCAGCTACCATCATGTGGTGTGGGAAGTGCAAGTTTATGTCAGAGAATGAGGAATACCTTCTATCTTGAATTTTGTTCATGGCCCTAAAGAAGGCAGTTAGGAAGCAGTAACAAAGTGCAGAGCCTATAGACAATGGAGAAGGATGCAGGAAGACTGCAGAGAGGCCCCAGAAGAAGAGATCCATCTAGGAGTGCCTTGACAGCTGCAGCTCCAGGATGTGCATGGGTCCAGAGATAAGAAGCAGTCTCACAGACCCCTGAAGACCCCCCTGTCTGTGCCCCCCACCACTTCTTCCCTTGTTCTCCCCTCTCCATATATGGCCAAATATATCCCCTTGGCCTATCCCTTCAAGCCCCCTTATCACTAAACCCTGGGATTTGATGTTCCAAGCAGAGGTCCCACCTCTGTTCCCGAAATTTCTGTATCCCCCTGCATATAAGCTGACTTCTTGTTCCAATAAATGCCATTTTGTAGGTCACATCTCGTGTGTGTCCTTTCTCCCATACGAAATGTGCCACAGGGTCCGTCGCAGGGGTCCCCAAACCCACACGCGATAGTCTATGGGCATCAGGCATTTTCACTGTTAGTCTTCTTCCTTGCTGGTTGTTTTGTGTACCATAGACTTATAGAGGTATTTTGACTTCCTTGTGCTTACAAAAGCCTAATGGAGGAGAATGTTCCATTCTTAACTGATTAATGGCAGCACTGGTAGACAGCAAACAGATAAGCTGGCCTGAGGAGTGCCCCAATAGCAAGTTAACAGGAGTAGTGGTGTGATGGTTTTGCCTTGTAAGCACAAGTGCCAGCTGTGTGCCTGTGGCACATGTGATTCAGAAAAAGCAAATAAGAACCCCCAGGAAGCTGTTGCCATTCTCTGTGGCTCTCTGCTTGTTCACTGATGTGAGGGAACTGGTTGCCCATCTCCAAGGCAATAATTGGAAGCCAGGCCTTGAGGCAGTCATTTTGGCAATGTCCCTAGGCTCTAGTTCTCTGCAGTCCTCATTTCACACTCAGCAGATGAAGGCAAGCATGGCTAGTGATTCAGAGAGACAGTGCGGTGGGTCGAGGCCTAGATGCTGAATAGCTATTTTGTCCTGTAGATGGCTTCTGCTTGGTCCCTCTGAGCCTTTGCACTGACCAACAAGGCTGTATTGCCTGGAGGCTTGTTGGCATCTCTGTTTGTGGAGAGCAGCTAAAGAAATGGTGACTTCTGCTTCTGAGAGATCTGGAGCAAGAAATATTGCCATTTGCTCCTTCTGGGAAGTGCTCTGAACAGCTTGAAGAGACATCTACAGAGTCCACCTCTTCCAGGCTGTAGTATTTACTGTGTACTGTGATGGTGAGATTTTTATTTTTGACTTGGAGTTTTTAACCTTTCCTTCATCTCATTAATTTTGCAGCACTGGAGACAAGTGGCGGTCGCGGAGGAAGATGATAACTCCTACTTTCCACTTTGCAATATTGAATGATTTTCTAGAGGTTATGAATGAACAAGGGAGTATTTTGGTTAAGAAACTTGAAAAGCATGTTGACAAGGAACCATTTGATGTCTTTCTGGACATCACTCTGTGTGCCCTTGATATCATCTGTGGTAAGTCCTCCTCTTCAGTTATTGTGCTGGGACCGTAAATGATGTGGATGCTCATGAGTACAGCTCTGCCAGTTTGTGTGAGGAGGTGATTGAGGAGTAATTTTCCTGCATATTGTGTGAATGCATTTCTATCCTCCCAAGGCCATCCTTTCTCCTAGGGTTTATTATGTGCATCTGAGCAGGTGAGTTTGTGGGATTGGCAGGACAGAGATAGCAGTCTGAAGTGAGGTTATGTTGAGGAGCAAGATTGCTGAGCAAAGCAAGCTCATCACCCGGGAAGGTGTGTGTGTATTCACCTGTCAAAGGGATGGTGTGGTGACAACCAGTAGCTGGGAGCAGTAGTAACTTACTGTGTACACAGACTCTGCATTTCACTTTGCACATGCGAAATGTTGATGTTTTCCTCCTTCTAGAAACAGCAATGGGCAAGAATGTGGGTGCGCAGAAGAATAAGAATTCTGACTATGTTTCTGCTATATACAGGTAAACAGACATTTTCCTTAGCTACTGTGTAGTTGAGCTGGACTTGATGCTTCTGGTGTCAGGAGGGAAGGCCAGGGGGGCAGAGATGGAGGAATGTAAAGCACTGGAACAGACCAACCCTGAGTCATTAAATACCCCGGAGGTATTTGAAATACGTGTAGATAACAGCACTTAGGGTCATGATTCAGCAGTTGGTTAACACTAGGGTAACAGCTGGACTCAATGATCTAAAAGGTCTCTTCCAACCTTAATAATTCTGTGATTCTATGATCTCACTCCTAGCTTTCTCTGGAGCTTGTTGATACAGGTACATTACAAAAGAAAGGGCGAACTTGTAGACTTCGATTCTCATCGATTCCTTGGCCTTTCTCAAATTGTACCACAAGTGTGCTTGAAGTTGGCCTAAATCTAGCAATTACTTCTCGAAGTCTCTGCAGCCAAAGCATGTGTGAGAGTTGCATAGCAGTGACAATCGGCCCTTCCAAATATACTCCAGTTTGTTTGAGCATACTTGAAATCTCATATTCTTTGTTTTCAATGCTTTTACATGTTGTCTGGCATATATGGTATCTGGAATTGTACTCCAGGTGTGTTTGAGCATAAGCATACTTGAAGTCTCATATTGTTTGTTTTAAATTCTTTTATATGGTGTCTGGTGTACATGGGATCTGGACAATGAAGTAAGAATGTAATGCTGTCAGATGACTGTTTGAGTTCTCAGAGCAGATATTTTGGAAGCCTGCTGTGAGTAGTCTTTTCAACATAGCCAGTGCCTTACTGAAGTCATGTGGGCCTGGACTGATGACTTAATAGATCTGTTTCAAGAGGATTCCAACTAAATGAGAATATGCTCTCCTCAGACATCAATGCTTAAAGATATAAAATATGGTGATGCTGGGACAGATAACAGAAATTTTGAGATGGTGTAAGATCAGGAAACAAATGTGAACAGCCTTCCTTTCAGATGAATGGGTTTAAACTCACACATTCTGTTAATTCTACTTCATTAGAGTACATAGAACTCTTTTTTTTTTTTTTTGAAAGTGTTTATTTTTTTGTCAGTAAATGTTACATGATGTAAATATTTTGCCCCTAGGATGAGCGATCTAATCCAACAGAGACAGATTAGCCCTTGGCTTTGGCCTGATTTTTTATACACGCTATTCAAGGAAGGAAGAGAGCACAAGAAGAACCTCAACATCCTTCACAATTTTACAGATAAGGTATAATTATTTTGTTTGTTTGTTATTTATAATGATAATTTCAGTTGTTTGAGCTAAGTCTTGCACTCAGTAGAGAGCTTCCAAATGGGATTGAGGTTCATACTCCTTGATATGTGTGTACTAAGAGAAGAGCTATTTCTCAATTGGGATGCTGAGGAACTCCCTGAAAAAAAGACAACAACTGACTTCCCTTTCTGGAGCTCTGTCAAATTTAAACAATAGGAAGTATACAAATACAAGGGAATGTCAGGACTTACAGCAGGACTTCACTGAACTCTTGTTCTGCCCCAGAAGGAGAAGCATCTGAATCACCTGCACCAGCTCGCTGCCAAGTTTGGAGCAGTAAGCATAGGACTCTGCATGCTGATGCCATTTGGTCCAGCCCTAAGACATTGAAGGCTAAATCAATTTTCCCCTATTCAGAGCAGATCTGCTCAGATGAGCAAACAGATGCAGGTCTCCACATCAGCACTAAGCAGTAGGACACTTTGGCACAGAAACCATTAAGCATGCATCACTGATTTGGCATAAAATGCAGGGTTCTCTCACCACATTAGACTGGAAATAACAGCCCTTTCACTCACCAAATAATTCCCATGCTACTCTTGCTAATGTTTGCCCTCCAAATCTACTTTGAGGATGTTTTCAGGCTGTTTTCCCTATGCATATATGGTATGATTGTATAAATATCTATGACAAAGGAGATAATCTCTGAACTTTGATTACATATAATGAGCCACACTGACTTTGCGTTTTTAAGTACTTCATGATTTGCTTCCTTTTATTGGGATTTGCAGCAGTGAGACATGAGAGAGGCTCTTAAGAGGACGTAAGAGGCTCTTAAGAGGACGTAACGTAACACTTGCTCTCTTCCTGTGCTGGTGTGGTGCACTGAATGTAAGAAGCCAAATCTTAAAAGATGACAAAGAAATGGTAAATAATAATGTCACCTAGTGTAGGTGCTAACAGAAAGAACTGAGCCAGCACAGCTTCATGAGAGGAAAGTCCTGCTTATCATACTTGATTTCCTTTTATGACAAGGTAAACCACCTAGCTGATCAAGGAAGGCCAGTTGATGGATTTCAGTAAAGTTTTCAATACTATTTCTCAGAGGATCCTTTTGGACAAAATGTCCATCTTGTGGTGGGTGAGCAGTTGGCTCACAGATCGAGCACAGAGGGTAATAGTGAATGGATGAACATCAGACCAGTGACCTGTCACCTTGACAAATTAGAGGACTGGGCAGTCACCAACCATATTAAGTTCAACAAGGGACAGTGATGGATTCTGCACCTGGGGTGGGGCAACCCTGGATATTGGTACAGACTGGGCAATGAGAGCTTGAAAAGGAACCTGGGGGTCCTGTTTGACAGCAAGTTGAATATGAGTCAGCAGTGCCCTGGCAGCCAGGAGGGCCAACCATGTCCTGGGGGGCATCAGGCAAAGCATCACCAGCCAGTTGAGAGAGAGGATTGTCCCACTCTGCTCTGCACTGGTGAGGCCTCACCTTGAATATTGTGTACAGTTTTGGGCACCACGATATAGGAAAGATATTAAGCTATTAGAGAGCATCCAAAGGAGGGCAACGAAGATAGTGAAGGGCCTTGAGGGGAAGCTGTAGGAGGAGCGACTGAGGTCACTTGGTCTGTTCAGCCTGGAGAAGAGGAGGCTGAGGGGAGATCTCAGTCTACAACTTCCTCACAGGGGGAAGAGGAGGGGCAAGTACTGTTCTCTTCTCTGTGGTGACCAGTGACAGGAGTCAAGGGAATGGTCTGAAGTTATGCTAGGGAGGGTTTAGGTTGGATATTAGAAAAAGGTGCTTCACCCCGAGTGTGGTTGGGCACTGGAACAGGCTCCCCAGGAAAATGGTCAGAGCACCAGGCCTGACAGAGTTCAAGGAGTGTTTCGGCAATACTCTCAGGCACATGGTGTGACTCTTGGGGATGGTCCTGTGCAGAACCAGGAGTGGGACTCAGTGATCCTTGTGGGTCCTTTCCAACTCAGCATATTCTGTGATTCTGTGAAAGATGGTTCAATATGTGACATACAGGCATGTTCAGTGAGGAAAGCAACGTGTGTGCACAAAACTGTATTTTTTCTCCCATTCCTCTGAACAGACTTGACAGTTTATTGAAGGATTCTGTTTTGTTGTTGCAACAACAGTGGTAACAGCAAGAAATCTGTCTGTTATTGGGGCTTTACTTTGGCCTAGAAAAGGGAATTTCAACCATTGCTCTCATACTGAAGAAAATTTGGGAAGTTTAATTAGTGGTTCAGCAGTGCTGTGTGTAGTGTTGATGAAAGGTCCTGTCTTCTCTTCAGTCTTCTGGGTTCCTCCAGGTTGGATATTTTCCTAGTTTATGGTGTAGGATAGAGAAGATCTTATTAGTGGTTAGTCTGTTCACATTGTGATGATTTTTTTGATTTGCTGTTGCCATTGTTGGGCATTCATGATTGGCTGGTTCCAGATACTCTGGATATGTTTTCGCTTCTTGATGATGAACAAGTTGTTTATGTGGTTTGGCTGTCTATTTCTTGAGCACACAAAGGTTCACTCTGTTGCATGGGACAAGAAGTGTTGGTCATATTTCAGCTACTAACACAAAAGGTCAGTCAGAGTTCATGACTTAATGCTTATAGCTATGCTAACTAGCTCATGTGGACTGCTATAGATGGATGTTGTTGTTTGGATAAGTTTGGACAAAACTGTATGATGTAGACTGTGGGCTTGTGCTGAATGCATCATATCTGATGTAATGGTTCTAATCTCAGGTCATTGCAGAAAAAGCTGCAGAACTTGAAAACACCAAGCAAAAGAAACATGGTAATGATGGCAACAGTGAAGAAAGTGTATCCAAAAAGAGAAAAGCATTCCTAGACATGCTGCTGAGTGCAACAGATGATGAAGGGAACAAATTGAGCTACAGGGACATTCGTGAGGAAGTGGATACTTTCATGTTTGAGGTAACCAAGGAACCCTTTTTTATTTGTTTGTTTGTTGGTTTGGTTTGGTTTGTTTGTTTGATTTTTCTGGTTTTGTTTTGTTGTTGATGTTGGTTCTGTTTGTTTCTTTTGGATGTTTTTTTTACCAGAACCTGAGATTCAGAATTTGAAGGTAGTGACTCTTCTCTTAATTCAGGAGGTTGCTTTTAGTATGGAGTTATTTTAGCCCTGGAAGCCTAAGAGGAAATATCAATCTTTCTATCCTACAAAGGTAGGATAGAAACGTTGATGTGTCCTGGAAAATGTTGGGCAGTACATATGTGGTAGGCCCTGCCTATGTGAGCAGGCTTTACTCATGAAAGCAGGTGAGTAATACAAGCTTAATGGCTGACCTGGACCGTGGGCTCTTGGCTCATGTTGCAAACCTCATTAACACTGAGGAGAGCTCTGAATAGTTTCAGTGTTTTGACTTGCATTTTGTCATCTCTCTTCACATTTTGTCCCTTGCCGTGTTGGCTGCAGTCTCCTGGTTCTGTTGTCAGCTGTGTATTAGTGCATTGTATTCTCATAGAATCTTACACAAAATGGTTTGGATTGGAAGGGACCTTAAAGGTCATCTAGTTCCAACCCTCCTGCCATGGGCAAAGATGTCACCTAGTAGATTAGGTTGCCCAAAGCCCCATCCCACCTGGCCTTGGACATCTTGAGAGACAGGACATTCACAACTTTTCTGGACAATGTGTTCCTCACTACCTCTGAGTAAAGAATTTCTTCCTAACATCTAATTTAAATATCTTCTCTTTTAGTTTAAAACCATTCCCTCTGAACCCTCTGATCATTTTCATGGCCCTCCTTCATGTCTGGTTCTCTATCTAATGAAAGGTTTTAAACAAGATTTTCACAAGTTTCCCACACACTTCTATTAAGTGGACCTGAATTCTCTCTCAGAAGAGCTTATGTCATAGAATCATATTACAGCTATTGTAACATAGGGAAACTCTCTTCCCATTATTACTATTTCTGTAGTACTTCAGCATCCTGAACTTCACTGCACGTGCACTTTTTTAGTACCAAAATCCTTTTTTTGGTCAACTTTTCTATTCTCCCCTTTCTCCTCTCTTTTTTTTAAAATTCTTTGGTTCTCGTTTCCTCTCCCCTTTTGTTTCTTCTCCTTTCCCGCCTAAGTGCTGAGAAATAGTAATTGATCCCCTTTTCATAGGAAGCCAAGAAATATTTTCTCCTTTGACTACTGTAATGTGTCTCAGTAGACCATTTTTAGATAGTTTTGTAAAGGTTACAGGTTGTGTCCATTTTATCTCTCCTGCAGTAGTCATTGGCCCCCCAGATGTTATGTTGTTGGCTGGACAGTAACCAAAAAGATTAATATATGTCTGTTTCATTGTGTAGAGACTGGTACTTCCCACAGCTTATGAGAATCAAGAGAGATTTTGCTTGGGTTATTTCAATACTTTTCTCCTTTGGTCCGTTTTCAGCACCTGACAGAATTGTGGGTCATCTTATACCTTGATAATTAGTGTGTTGAATAGAGTGCTTCGCTCTTGATTCATGTTTTTCTCATGGTCATGGGACTAATAAGTATCACTTCCCATATTACCTGCACACCTAAGTATTTACAAAGCCCACTGGTGCACAGGAATAGAGTTGAAGTGAATGTCTTGGTAAATCTGGACCTCTAGGGCCATGATACAACAGCAGCTGCTATGAACTGGGTCCTGTACTTGCTTGGGCATAATCCTGAAGTTCAGAAGAAGGTTCACAAAGAATTGGACGAGGTGTTTGGTAAGTTTCCATTCTCCCCTTCATTGGGTCTTTGGTGGTAATTGCTGTATTAGTGAGTGGAGATGTTAGAAGCTTAGATGTAGAAGAGGAGTTAGGAGCATACCTTCTGGCCCCCCTTTTGGAGCTTTCCGCAGGTAGAAGTGATTGGGATGTTTCTGGGAGATCTGTAGGGGAGTACAACCAACCTTGAAACCCCCGGGCAGATGGAGCTCGTTAGCCCTGTAAGGCAATCCATCTACGTCCTGAGGACCTCGCTGCCACCATCTAAGCTCGCTTGGCCCCGGCAGATGAACCTTAGGATTAAAGGGAGGGCTCAGTTCCGCGCACACTGTGTCTCACGTAAAAAATCCAATGCGCAGGCTGGAAGGTGGAAAGACCTTCCCCGGTTCTTCGTTCACGAAGACTGGCCATTACCTTTACCTATTACAACCGACCTTACATCTTTGGAGCAAGATATGCATGTTCAATATATGTGTAACACCTTCTTTTATGTAGTCTTGGTGCGTGATGAGAATTCCTGGAGGGATCTAGGCTGAGTTTGTTTACCCAGAAATGGGGAGTTTTGATCTTGCTCATCCCCCTGTTTGTTTTTGGACAGACAACACTGACCGTCCTGTTACAACAGACGATTTGAAACAGCTTCGATACCTTGAGTGTGTTGTGAAAGAAGCCCTTCGGCTCTTCCCATCAGTTCCCATGTTTGCCCGTACCTTGAGAGAGGACTGCTGTATTAGTAAGTAATCTGTGTTTGCCACTTTCTATCCTGTTAGCATGTCCTCATTGGAGATGTTTCCCAAGTAAATGGCAGCATTGTTTTATTTTTTACTGTGCTTTTGTGTAGAAAAAGTCACTTGTTTGCTGTTGTTTTGACCGTTCTTCTTCCATTCCCTTTTCTCTTTAGGTGGATATCAGATACCAAAAGGCGCAAATGTTCTTGTTTTGACTTATGCCCTGCACAGAGACCCAGAGATCTTCCCAGACCCAGAGGAGTTCAGGCCTGAACGATTCTTCTCTGAAAATGCTAAGGGAAGGCATCCATATGCTTACGTGCCCTTCTCAGCTGGTCCCAGGAACTGCATTGGTTGGTATCTCAAGAAGCCTTTTGTAATGTAATAGCTTGGCTTTTGGTGTGACAATCGAAACAGCAACAAGCGTATCAGAAATTTAAGTCTTGATGTGCCTACTAATTGTGTACTGTCCTTCCTGCTCCCCCTCCACCCAGCCCCACCCCTGTATTCTTGGCACTGTGGGCCCTGCTTGAGCTGTCACATTTGTTATTCCCAAGGGTTTCCTTTCTTCCTAGAGACCAGTGTCTATCATGCTGACGTTTCCTCCTCACTGCCTGTGCACCCTGTCAGCATATTATTTGGCTCCTGTGTTAGGACAGGATTGCTTCCAGATTTTTGATTGTCAGTGTTAGCAAGACAGAATGAGAGAAGACAAATGCCCTGCACCTGTTTTGCTCTGGAAACATCTACTCTCTCTCTTTCATGATCTGAGCTGGGTGTCCCAAACATACAGTCTGCAATGGATGTATTTTTTCCCTCTTTTCTGACACTGTAGGTAGTTTGGTCTTCTTACTATCATCCCAGAATTTGTTAGTTCTCCTGATGCCACTGAGACACTTGGCATTAATCTGTGCTCAGAATAGAGGCATTGCTGTTTATATTGTAGAACACGTGACAAGACTGTTCTCTGCACTGATTTTAACTACAGGTGGGGAATATCCAGAAAATGTCATACCATTTACAAGAATAGGAAATATAACTTATTCTGGGTTTTTTTGGATTGTTGGTTTGGTTTCTTTTTTTTGGGGGGGGAGGGGGAATGGGTTTGATTTGTTTTGATTTGTCTCATTGGTAGTAAGTGTCCGTCTCACAAGAACAGTAAACTAGGTCTTTCCACATTTCATAGAGAAATCTGATCTAATCTAATATGTCTGGCTAGTTCCTGAGTGTGAAGGAAAGTGTGCAGGAGAGATGGTTCATTAATACCATTGCAGAAATGCATCACTGTGTACATGTGTATGGACATCTGTCTAAGCATATTACACAGAGGGGAGAACAGAAAAAGTTCTGAGCACTGGTTTTGTGTCCTGTTCCCATTTTTCAGTTTAGTTTGTGTGAACTGCCAGAATTGTGGCACTTGGTTTGATTTCTCTCATGTTTCTCTTTTCTCCCCTTTCCTCCGTCACCTTTCTCTGAAGTGTAAATTGAACTTTGCCGCCTGTGCTACCAGATCATCAGCATGCGTGAGGTTTAATGATCATTGAAGGAAGGTCTGTGTGTCATTCCATTGCAGTCATATCTCCTTTGCTCCTCTCCACATATATGGAGCAATAAGATTTTTCTCTCTCTACAGTCCCTGTACTGCATCTTCTGCTCTGATGTACCACTTGTTCCCCCTACCTAGTCCATCCAAGAGATATGACAAGGCTGTGTTTTGTATTAGTTCAGTATAAAGTGTTGACTGTTTCCACTTTGTTGTTTGGGTTCCGTGTACTATGGGAAGGAAGGCACACTGTGGATTGTCCCAGGAAGGCCAGAGTTTTCATGCAGAGAAAAGTGCTAGTTTTATTAGTATCCATATAAACTTGATTTTGGCCTAAGGCTAGTTCTGTTCTCAAGGTAGATGCACAGTCCTTGCTCTGTCCTGTTCTTGGGAGTAGCCCTGTGAACGTGCAAGTGCAGCAGCCATTGATGCAACCTGACAATACCTTTTCTTCCTGCCCTGTAACGCATAGGCCAGCGCTTTGCGCAAATGGAGGAGAAAACTATTCTAGCCCTCATCCTGCGGCGCTTTTGGGTGGAGTCATGTCAAAAACTGGAAGAGCTTCATATATCTGGAGAATTGATTCTTCGTCCAAATAATGGCATCTGGATTAAGCTGAAGAGGAGACCAAATGCTGGATCAGAATGAAAACCATCTCAAGGGTTTACTTCCAAAAATTTTCAAGCTATTTAGGCGGAAATATGTTTTAAAATCAGATATTTTTATGTCAGTCCAGCAGTTTGTTAAAACCAGTTGTTCCTATTTCATGAAAGGTGTTGTAATAGTCCTAAATTGCTCTACTTTTCTAATTTTTGTGAACTTCATGGTATTAACTTTTAGTGCCTTATCTGCTCAGATGAAACTATTCTATTGTAACAGAGCCACAAAACCTTAAATTATGGTAGTAACAACAGCAATGCCTGTGATGAAGTGATCTTGTTACATGGCATAGAATTTACCAGGTAACTGATAGTCTCAAATATTTGTATAGTTTTCAGGTTTCTTTGGTTCGGAAAAGCACAAGTGATAATTCTTCCTCTCAGGCAGTATTTTTCCTTTTTTGATAATGACTCTATCTGTGAAAATGAAACAAAATTCTCTGATAATTTTACTCCTCCTCTGTAAACATTTACAGTAGTTCTTACATAGTGATTTCTCTGAATTATTTTCTAGCAAAGTATACCATAAACATGAATCTGTATAATCATACCAGGATGTAGATAGTGTACAAATTACACGCTGGATGTCACAATGACAGAACCACTGTATTATTACAAACTTTGCAAATAAACTTCTATTATGCCTCAATATGGAATGAAGTTACATCTGTAATTAAGTCATGCATAATTATTTCTGGAGTGATCAGTCAACCAGATTTTACTGTGTTGCTCCAAGCTCAAACAATGAGCCAGTGTGCTCTTACCTTTTAGTGTCCTGTGAAACCCTCAGCTTCCTTGGCAAGTTTCTTAAAGGGGGCTTAGGTACTGCAATTCCCTGGGGCAGGCACAAGGGAGAACACTATAGTGTTCTCAGGAGGTTAAACAACAAACTTTTACTGGCAAACTTTAGAGGCTAAGGGTACTTGGCAAATTTCCTTAAAGCAACATTCAATCAAAGTGAAGCATTTCACAAAGCATTGACTTAGCAAACTCTAGCCCATCCAAATTCCAAGTTACCCAGATTTCGAGACAAGGAAATTTGAAGAAGAAAAGGAGAGAAAGATTAATAATCACTGCTTGAATTCCAGCGCCATCTCAGCTCCTATAAAATGGAAACGGGACACAACCCTATGTATTCCTGTGCAATTGCTTTTATTGGCTCTGGTCTTTCTTCTCCTAGGTGGGACATTCAGTTTGCCAATGGCTAATAGCCGTTCTGGGCTGGACTAGATCTGGGGGGGTGAGGGGTATGGAGCAGCACACCATCCCTTCTTGGCTGAAATTACCCTGCTCCCCCTTGCAGTCCTTCCACACCCCCTTTTAGTTGTTTTGAGGAAGTAATAATTTTCTCCACTCTCTCACAGCTCCGGAAGGCAACACACAGAGTTTTTTTGCTAATTGAAGTTAAAGACGAATCACGGTAATGGAATGAAGTGCCTGTGAAAAGTTTCTGAGTTTGTACCTTCAGAACAGGCCAAAATCTGTTATAGGCCACACAGCTGGATAAGACACTCCCCATGATTTTTGCAAGCTCTGAAAAAGCTAGTGCTAGGCCAAGCTCAGGTCTCTAGCTGGTCTGCCCTTTACTTGTGCCTTGGAACTTCTTTTGGCTGGTGTGTGTTACTCCAGCATGGTGCCTGGTGCTGTACAAAGAAGGGAGCCTGCCGACAGCCACACTTCTGTCTTTAGCTGCTGATGCAGCTGTTGCTCTTTCCCTGTGGCTGGCAGAGAGGCTTATTGTTGTGCTGTTGCTTTTAGGTTGTTCTGGGGCTGTGGACACCCTGCAGAGGGGAGCCTGGATGAGAAGCTGGAGGTCAGAGCTGATACAGCTAATATGGATCGGTCCAGTCTAATGACTAAGGTGTTACAAAGTAACAATGGAGTAATCTGTCCTGACTGGTTTTGTTGACCTTTACAGATTCTTTCATCTGTTTTCATGTGCCCTTTTAACAATATTTCTTGGTTTAGCATCTGGGATACTCCTGTGCTTTGTAGAACATCATAATAAAGAGGAAATATTTTCTGTTTTCCAAGTAAATTAGAGGTTTCCTTGAACCTGCCAAATTCTTTATATTCTGATGAACCTAGGTTTTACCACTTTCTGGGGATCTTATAAAAAGAAAGTATTTAACTGCTGAGTTTACATAAATGAAATCACAGACCTTGACAAAGAGTTTGTTGTAATTGTTACCTTTATTTTGCCTTTAAGAAAAAAAAGTCATGTAGCAATGGTAATATGACTACATTCTTCAGCCTTGTTTTTCAAATAAGTTTCATTTCTATATAATAACAAGAACTTAAATTTCCAGGTCTGAGTGTAAATGTTGTTTTCTTTGTAATGAGATAAGTTTTGAGACTACCTTCATATGTTAATACACAGAGTGCAAATGACACGTGTTTTCCAGAGAGACTCTAAGTTAAGGAATTATTTCATGCTTTCGGGTACGTACCCTGGTTTATTTAAAAATCGTATGGAATGCTGGGTACATGGCCACTTCCTTGGTTATGAGCTGTTTACCAGGAAGGCCTAGACTAAAACCATCACACTCTCCACCCCTTATTCCATACTGTTTTTACATAACGCTTACATCTCACATATATATACATATGTATACAAACCTAGAGAGGTACCTCATGTTTTCCTAAACTATGTCCTTAAGTTGAAGACTTTCAAGACAAGTGAAAACTAATATTACTTCCTTTTGCCCTGTGGGATCTATTTTGTAGAAATAGTTTGTAAAACAGACCAAATTATAACAATTCTTTCCATAAGATAATTTTTTTTTACTTCTGTCTATTCTGACCAGTATTTTTCTTGCACCTTGTTTTTGTACCATACCCTTCTCATATAATGAAATCTCAAGGAAATTATAATTTCTTTATGATCTCTGATGTGAACAAGAAAATAATCGAGACAAAAACTAGATAAACTATAATGAGAAACTCATTATTAAAAGTGCATGGGCTCAAATACTGGCTCAGAGTTGCCAAAGTGGAAAATCCCTATTTAGTGATGCACATAGTATCTTTGCCAAGATAAGCACTGATTTAATCCTGTAATCTTTGTGTTCTAAGCTGCTCTGAAATGGCAGTGACCTCTCATCTTCTGTTGTGAAATTTGGTTTTAAAGCAGTCTGAGGCTGCTAAGGAAATAAATACTGAGGAAAAAAATACTGAAGGTACTGAACTTTCTACTGGGATAGCAGAAACGGAGCATGTGAGTGTTTCTGATTAGTGGTTTACAGCTGTCATGAAGAGCACTGACAATAAACCCCGTGTAACATCTTGGGAGGTTCTGCTTGAGAGCTCCTGCAGGTACCTCAGAGGCACTAAGTTTCCAGCTACCTTGACACAAACTGCTTTCTGGCATCCAAAGGCTGCATATTTGGACTCATGCAAGAGGTGGACTAATGGTACTTGCAAGATATCCACCTGCCTCCCTGAATTTAATCCTCATGCTGTAAAAGCCAAAACCTCATATGCAGATTTTAGTACACTGCTGCAAACATATCATTTTGCCATGTGTGATCTAATATGTTATCTCCTCCTCTTCCACCAGCTAAAAGACTCAAAGAGCCTTTGGAGAATTATACCCCAGTTTTCTTCCTAAAAGCAGTAATGGTGCCACTTCCTGACAAATCTCCCAGTATAGCACTACCTCAGTTTATAGTCAGGTCATATTGAGAAGGCGACCTTCATGCTTTGCATGGATTAAAAATTAAATTAAATCACTTTCTAAACCAAAAAAATACATACACCTGAGATTCTTCTGAAACTGAGAGTACTTTGCTAACTCCATCTTTTGCTCAACAAATGGACTTTTCTAGTCAGTACCTGGAGTATAACTTGTGGAGTGTTGTAAAGTGTTCCTTGAAAATGCAAATTATTTTGAGCAAAGGAAGGCAGTCAGCTAGCAAAAGACTGTATGCCCAAATGATCTAACTCCATGCTAGTAGTTCAGGGACACATATAACTTGCTTAAGAGTTACTGTCTGACAATTTACAGGGCCTGGTCAAGGCACTAGAACCCTTCAGTATATTAAAACATTCTGTCTTCTCTAACAATAGCCAGCATCAGGTGCTTTAGCTGCAAGAAGCAAGGCCTGGGCAGTTGTGTGATTCTCCATGTATAAAAAAAAAAAGGTAAAGCTGATTATAAGGAAAAAAAAATCAAATAATGCCTCTGAAATAACAAACTCAGTAGCTCTTTGTTGTTTAATATTTTTGCAATTGTCTTCTGTTTTTCCTATGATCCTGAATTTGGTCTGCATTGATTTCTTATTTAATGTCTGATGTGCAGTTGTTTCTAGGCTGTATTTCCAGGAAGACTATTGTTGACATGTAATTGCAGGATATAGAACTACTAAACTGCTTTTATTTCAATACGATATGCAATGCAGCACTTTCCACAAATCAGTAAATTATTATATCAATCTTTTTTCAGGCATTTGAGGTGGTATCAAATCAAACAAGATTCTGGCCTAGTGGGACAATGGATTCTTCCCTCAGATAATCATAGAATCATAGAATCAACTGGGTTGGAAAGGACCTCTGAGATCATCAAGTCCAACCCTTGATCCACTACCACCACAGTTACAAGACTATGGCACTAAGTGCCACATCCAGTCTCTTCTTAAATACCTTCAGGGACAGAGAATCTACCACCTCTCTGGGCAGCCCATTCCAATGCCTGATTACCCTCTCTGTAAAGAATTTCTTCCTAACATCTAACCTAAACCTTCCCTGGAAGAGCTTGAGACCATGCCCTCTTGTCTTACTGAGAGCTGCCTGGGAGAAGAGACCAACCCCCACCTGGCTACAACCTCCTCTCAGGTAATTGTAGAGAATGATGAGGTCTCCCCTGAGCCTGCTCTTCTCCAGGCTAATGTCATCCTGACTCAGATGAAAAGGCTCTAGATTGCTGATTGTAAGACAAAAATATCAGGATTTAATTTTTAGAGCTGTTTTAGCAGCATTTGGTATTTCACTCTGTCCTTTGTCATATATGTAATGATAGCCATGCAATACTTTCAGAATATTTGTTGGGTTTTGTGTTTTTTTTTTTTTTTTTCCTACTGGAGCATTCAGGTTCAGAAAGTTACTATAGCATCCTCATTCAGGTGGAAGGGTGTCCACAAAGCCACATCAAAATGAGAACTTGTGTTGTTTCCTCCATACCAGAGCCTTCCTTCCCTCTTTTCATCTGAGATGTTTCTCTTGTTCCTCATCACGACCAGCAGGTGTTGTCTCATCCCAGACAGTAGGATAGCAGGGCCAGTGAAAGAAAATTAATTTAGTTTCCAAAGTGAGTGTGCTCATTATGATTCTCTTTGAATTTCACTGCTGCCCTGTTTCTGAGCTTCACCATCGAATCCAACTTATGCCCATACAGATATACTTGAAATGAGGTATGCTTTTGGAAAGAGGATTATATCTAAATTTGAGAACTACTGCTTTAAGAAAGTGTTTTTTAATTTTTTTTCCCCATTAGTTTGCTTCTGAAACAAACAGCCATTACCAAAAGATTCCTTGTCATGAGACAAATTTCTAAAATAGAGATAATGGATTATAGAAATGAAAGATTTCAAAAGCTTCTGATGAATGTGGGTATTACTACATATTGCAAGATGACACACATGATCATGGTAAAATTTACATCAATCTGCTCTGTTTTTTCTATTTATTAGAACTGTATACTTTGTTTTTCCAAAAGTGTGGGGTTGGAATTTTTGGGGGCTTTTCTTTGTTTGCTTGTGTTTTAATAAGATAGTAATGAACTGGAATAACTGTCCAATATCTGACCTGGAAAGCCCAGATGAGAAATAAAAAGTCAAGAAATTAAGTCCCTGGAGAAAAGTTCTAATCCTTTTGTGTCACCAAGTGAAATGCATGCACACATACACACACAAAGACAAAATAATTACTTTTAATTGAGCACTAGTTCAATTAATTGAACTTTAATACAGGTTGAGCAACACAGAAAGTTGTAAGTTCAGCTTGTTTTGTTTATAAATATTCAAATAAGTGGTAGGTTTTGTGATTACTTTCATGGTAATGAAAACCCTGTAATTTGGAAGTAAAGGTGAAAATTTTTCCAGGGATGTGAAAAACTATCATTATTTTTTTGGATGAGAAAAGAGAGACTAAGTTGCATATTTGTGTTTATACGGGAAGGCTTCAATGGTGTTACCTGGCAATGATGTGGTGTACTTTTCCAGAGCTGTGTTCCCATGATACCCATACAACCTGTGACCAATATAAAAATCTGCTTTTCTGAGTTAAAGGTCAGAGCTGTACAGACATCTTAGTCTCAAAACACTTCATGTCACAGGACTGAACTATCGATATATTTTTCAGTAAAGACTTCTAGCACTCTCATTGTTGCACGCTTAGAATAGAGCACATAAAAATGAAAGCACTGAAAACATTTGAGTCCTCTCCTGCAAGCTTGTCAGGGCAAAGCAAATTGATACATGGGAGAGTATGAAGACTTTATTTGAGACAGTTCTTCCTCTGTAAGGAGGTGTTGGAGACCTTGCTGGCCCTTAAATCACAGAGAAGTTAATTTGAATCATCATGATGCTCAAAAGGGTCATAGTTGGGTGGAATGTTTTGATCTTGATACTTTTCGAGTTGAGTATATATATCTGTCTTTTGCAGATTCGGTTTAAAAGAAAAGCCAAAAAAGAGTGAGGAGAAAGGAAGAGTCATTCCTTAGGCAGCTTCCCTGTGAAACAAAACTTTTTTTTTTTTTTTTTTAGATTTGAAAGACTTTTTTTCCTTTGAAATTTATTAGGCTTTTAACGTGTTAAAAAGAATAGTAGAATCAAAAAGAGTGATTCAGATAAACTAGAAATTAAGTTTGACTTCTTGTTATATTTACATTTCATATATCTGCAAACAGGTTTGTGTTTTTTCTGCTTTCTGACACTCTGAAGACATCTTTGTTGAATCTAGCAACAAAAACAGTAGTTTGGAAAGGCCCACAGTAAAACTACTTGGAAGATGTAGACAGGATAATTTCTGTGGAGTATTGAAAAGGAGAAATAAGAACTTGAAATGATGTTAAGAGCACAGAATACAGAGTTGAAGTATATATTTGTTTCTGTTTGTCGTGGGAATACCTCAAGAAAATGATGTAATAATAAGAAAATATAGGTGATGATCCTATATTGATATTTGCTCTTGAGACAGATCTGGTTCCTTGTTTATGTAGGTTCCTGTGCTAGCAGCAGACACTCTGGCTCTTCTGAACCAGGGATTTGCCTTTTATTTAAAATGCTATGAAAGAGGCAGATGCTCAGCTGGTGTAAAATCTGGACATTTATTTCAGAGCAGTGTGGATGACAGATGTTCTGAAAATGGGTCCTAAGGTCAGTAACTATCAACAGAAAGAGTACCCGTTCAAAGTAAATATTAGAGATAAGTTAGCATTGCAGGCACAGTAATATTTAACACAAAGTGTGGACTTTTTTTTTTTTTTTTTTTTTTTAGTAGAGCATAAACCTTACTGATGCATCCAGACCTACTGTATGTTCAGGTATGTAGTTGTTATTGAAACTGGTATTCAGTGAAAGGTTTTCATAGCAACAAGACAGTGTATGTTGAAATATTTATGGCTTGTGTTGTGCGGTTAATTTATTTGATTATTTCATAGCTTAAGTTGCTGCATGTGAAAAAAAAAAAGGTTTAGAATTCATATAGCATATACCAGAAGAAGTGAGTGTGAGTCATTTGTGTGCTATGGGGATAACAGTATCTACTAAACTATCAGGAGAGACAGGGTTAGTAATATCATTTCAATATAATATTGCTCCCAGTCTAAACAAGAATAAATATTCTGCTGTTAAGCAGAAATTCTTGAAGTGCTTATAAGCTTTATTGCTTTTTACAAGCATAAGTGAAGGAATAACTTTTGTTACTCTTCCATGCTACTTTAGATATACCCCAACTGTAGATCACAGCTGTAATTTGTAAATTTCAAAGATAATATTGAATTAATGGTGAAACAGTACAATTGTACATCAGTGTTATGCTTTGCAGTGCCTTATAAAACTAGTTGTACACCCTTTATGTAACACATCCTAAATAATAATTTTGTGGTTTTTAGGATGATTTGGATTTATTGGACCTTTAATTTCATTTTCTTACTTGCTTCTGTTTACAGTGGTAAGTGAATATATAATTTCTGAGACTGACACATGGAGTAACACAACTCTTGTAGGTGGAGAGATGGTAACTGCAGTCTGCTCCTGAGAGAGCTGTTTTGATTCTGCTGGGTTGTGCCTTGTTAAGTTTGGATAACTTGCTCCCTGTTATCTGACGTGGAACTTTCTAATGGGGCTTTACTGATACTGTCCTGCCACCCCCGCTGCAGCAACGTGTGCTGGCTGCTGTAGGCTCAGTCTGGCAGTGCTGGCTGAGCTATTGCTATCTGCCTCTTCCTGCCTGCAGAGGAGCCTCAGACCTTTCCCCAGATGCTGCCCTCAGGTAGGAGGCAGGACTGATGGGCACCCTGACTGTGAGGCACCAGCTGAGCTTCAGAACTAATATCCTTTTTAATTTTTTTAAATAAGCAAACCCCACCAACCTTCAGTCTTACTCACACATTGCCTTTGTGTGAAATTACTCATGTAAAAAGTATCTGTGTAACACCTATGTACCATTGTGCTTGAAAGACTACTGCAATAAAGGTGAATAACTCCAAAACCAGTTGTGTTATTGTAAATGGTTTTTAAAATTCTCTTAGCACACTGGAAAATTGATAATGGCACATGTTTTCCAGTCTGTGTTAATGATTTACTTTGATCAGTTAGCAAAAGTTAAACTACAAAAGTTGTGTTGCATTTCTCTGAAATTCCTTTTTCTGATAAATTATAACTGAGGGCTAACACAAGTTTAAGTTCAGTAATGTATTACCCTTTATTTCTCAGACAACAATTAGATAAGAGCTTTTTAGCAATATCTGTTTGATAAATGTAGTATTATTTAAGAAAATATTTTTCCTGACTTTAAATCTCAGCAAAACTAAAATCTTGGAAAATTCCTGAGAGCTAGAAAACAATTTTATTAAATTAGGTGTTCAGAACTGGCATAGTTTTACATAGGTGGTACTTTACTGGCACGGTGCATAGTTTTACAGCATAAATAAAATTTTTGTTTATTATACTTGAAGAAGATAAATAAGATCCAAAATATCTGATATAGCAAATAGAATTCACTTAGAGTATTCTAAGAGTAGAAAATGTTTTTCTGTTAATGACAAAGTTGGGCAAAGAAACTCTACTGAGAACAATAATTACCAATTTTTAGAGAAATATCTTGGAAGTATATATACCAGAAAAATATGGATATTTATAAAGTACAAATTTTTATCAATAAGAATTTAAACTTTGAAAAATATTAGCATATCTAGCACATATGTCTAGTAGATATCCAGTAGATATCCAGTAGATAAAATGTTTTCAGTTGAGTTTTCCTCCCAGTCTGTAAAATTAAATTATTTTCTCTTTCAGCCGAGAAAAAACACTTTTGTAGATACAGGAATAAAAATTGGTGTATTTGCTGGTTTGCTACTTCTTTTGAAGGGCAAATTCAAGAAGAGAGTGGTCTCCTGTGCAAAGACAGCTCTCTTGTGTGTTTTAAAATGGAGATCTTACAAGTGCCTTCATTTGGAAAGATGGGAGCAGGTTGCTGCGTAGGCACCTTTGTTGCATGGCTCTGCAGTGTGAGTGGTTGTCATCAGAGAGTTCAGTATGTCATTCAGAGTTCAGTATTCCTGCAGATACATGGTCGTAGTTGAGCTCATTTTTATTCTGGACCATTCTGAGATGCTACTCCTGAAACGGTATTTTCTTCACTGTAAAGCAGGTTGGGGGGTTCAAGGTGAAATGTGAGGGAACAGAAGGTTTAAGAAATGCTCTGAGTCACTGAGGCTGTGTGCAGTGTCATTGCCTGGGACTTGGCCCTCAGAGCATCCCTAGACAAAACAGGACTGTCTTTACATAAAAATTCGTAAATCTTTTTGGTCTCTCCACTTCCTCCTGGTAGTTTTCCTTCTAATGGTGGTCTCTCTCAGAAGAGGCTTCTGCTGCTCCTGAGATCTGCCATGAGATGGTACCTTCCCTATCTGCCATGCAGGTATGCCTTGTGGCCTATCCTGCTGCTTGGGTTTCTGCCTTGGCTCAAGCTGCCCTGCTCCAACATTGGGTATGAGGCAGGGAATGGGGGGAGACACCCCAGATAGTTTTATTTCTGCTGGAGAGAAAAGATGAGACTCTCAGAGAAACTGTGCTATCATGCCCCTTACCCACTTTTACTGCCAAAAGATTGTCTTAAAAGGAAGGTCCATGGCAAAGAGGAGCAGTGGCTTCACCCTCTCCTGCTGAACTGTGTGCTCCCGTCTTTAATAACTGACACATTTTGTTATTCTGCATCAGAATGTGTGATTCAGATCTATGAAAATACATACTTCCAAGGAGGAGACCTCACTACGTTTTTTACACCGAGTGCCAATTACTGCCAAGTAGTGTGTACTTACCATCCTACCTGTCTGTTCTTCACCTATTTGCCAGCAACATGGACTAAAGATCCCGAAAAAAGGTAGGATGTCCATGTACATGTCTATTTTGCTGGCCTCCTGTGATAATTTAGAAACTTGGTAACATTTTGACAGAACACAGGCACGCAGGGAAAGGTACAGGGTTGCCATGGAACACCCTGTCATGTATCTCTAAAACTCAGGCTAATTGCTTGAATTCAGAAGGTTGGATTTGACAATGCCCAGTTTTTTGCACTCACATACCGGCCCTTTCAAAGAAACAGAAGTGACTCTGCACTCCTTCCTTTGTGCCATGTATTTATTGTTCAGAGACAATGTGAGTAATTTCACATCTCCAGTGGTCCCCTCTACCATTCCCCACCCTCTCTATTTAGCATATTTTTCTCACAATTAAGAACTTCGTTAACCTGAGAGAATGAGGTTGTCCTTCCTCTCTATGCCTAGTGCATTCCTGTCCTCCAGAAAGCATGTGTCTCTACCCTATTTTTCTTCTAATTATACATGTCAACATTTAAATGTTGAGGAATATTGAAGAGCCTGCATTTCACCTGAGAAACAATTATGCAAGTCTGTGTTGTACTGCAAAAGCCATGAATTGCTGCATTTTAAAACACAGGTTCTCCTGCTATTTAAAAGACAGTGATACAGAAATGCTGCCAAAAGTGGAAATGGAAGGAGCTATCTCTGGACATTCCTTAAAACAGTGTAACATCCAAATTACTGGTAAGATGTGGTTAATTCACATGCATGTATTTTATGCTGTGTATTGGGTGGCAGCTGTTAAAAAAATTACCATTTTGTAAAGAGTAGTAGAATCAGGGAAGTAACCAAGCAGGGATTTGTATGTTCTTTACCAGATTGCTTTCAAACACAAGTGACAAAAACTCCCCTGGTTTTAGCCTTCAGGCCCAATTATCCACTACTAAGGCTCCCCAGATGAGGTGACAGGGAAATCATGCTCCTGCTGTCACTGTTTCATTTGCTAGAAACAGATGGGAATGCAGGCTTTAGCTGCTGGGGAATGCAGGCTTTAGCTGCTGACTCCAGTTCTAAAGGTTATTTTACTACTACAGTTCCACTCCTGAAAGCTGCTCATATGGCATGTGTGTTTTATAACTCTGAGCTGCAGATGCCCAGCAAAGCAGAAGTGCATTGTCACAATGTCATATTAATACCTTTGTGATTCTCTGTAATATATTATTAGCAGCTGCATCTTTTAGCGTGTGTGTGCTCTACATGAAGTCTTGATTTCAGCATGCCATACTTGTGAGTTATTTAAAGCCTATTAAATGTGTTGTTTTAGATATGCTTTAAACTTGCACTGTAATAATGATGTCATCAAAAGGAGATCAACTTTAAGCATAGCATGGTACTTTAGAAAAAGAGAATAAGGAAGAATATTCACTTCCTGTCTTGGAGGACAAATAGTGTCTTATGGATGTCAGGTTAGTTCTTTAGTTTTGTTGGTATAGAACCTCAGTGCTATACCATGGGTTTTTATGTGAGATGAACCTCCTCATGTGAGATGAACCTACTAAATGGGTTTTTATGAGAGTTCTCCATTGCAGCTATTATAAAATAAGTTGTGCTTGCTTTAGCTTGTCACTTGCCTTTCAGAGCAGTAAGGTCTTTTAAAAGCCCTTTCCTGCCAATATCCTGTCATGTTTACATTTCTGAGTAGCTTTGACGCAAAAGAAGAGATTTCAGTGGATGTTATTCTTTATGCTATTTAGACTAATTAATATCACTGTAGTTACTCTAGAATCAGACTAGTGTCATTAAAATGAAAATCTTTCCATAGATATTTAAAAATGGCTCCAATCTTTGGCTGACTCATGTTCTTTGAAGAGAACTCAATGACCTGCATTTCAAACTCCCCAAAGTCCCATTTCTCCCCCTTTGAAGTGTAAATTAAATATTCTGACTCAAATGGAAGATGTCTGTTGTTTATGAGGACAGGATTTGCCATTTAGACTGATCTGTGAATTTGGAACTGGGAAAGTATGTTTTAGTATTAATCTTGAGTTCTTGCTTTGCTGAATATCATTATGCTCTCAGTCAGCCACAGTGGTTAGAGCCTCTCTGTCATGTAGGCAGAGGCACTGTCAAAATCTGACAGTTTGCCATGTGATACTACACTAAACCTGTTTCTGATTTAGTACTAGAAGTGTGTATGAAGTGTGATGTAACTGAAGTGAGTGTGGGATGTATGATGTGGATTGTGAGGGCTGTCATACAAACTATCTTTTGGGCAATTTGGGGTATGGGATGGGGTAAAGAATAGAAGTACGTTTTCAGAACTTGGTCTCTCTTTCTTCACAGCTTGCAGCCCAGATGTCCATGTAGGACTGGATATGGAAGGGAATATTTATGATATTGCTACGGCTGACAGCTATCAAGAGTGTCAAAAAAGATGTACCAATGACAAGCATTGCCATTTTTTTACATATGCCTCTGAAACATTTCACGATGCAAAGTTTTGGTAAATACAGGTTGGATCCATTTCCTTGGATAGCACTGTGCTTCAGTAGAGTAAATCTATGTAAATCTTTAGTAGAACAGTCTATGGTGCAAGAATTACTCGAGGATATTCAATTTATTACTCCTTGCAATGTTTATTCACACTTACAGGTAGGAAAATATCTGTAGTCAGTTAGCTTTCATTTATTCATTGGTGAGAAAGACGAACTTGATTATTATAGCACTGAAAAAAATTAAAATCCTCTGGAGGTACTTAAATGCAAATTATATTGGTATGTGTGCAACATTATTGCTCTGTTAAATCCTGCTGTGCTTATTGTTCTGAAAACAGCATCATCAGAGCAGCCACAGGAATTATTTAACTTTTATCAAGCCTATTTTTGAGCTTTTAATCTTCTCAAATTTGCAAGTTAAACATTGTTTAGCTAGCTCAGTTCATCATTTGAAGCCTGTTCTGGAAGTTGGACCGTGCACCATGATAGGAATTATTTTCTTACCACTTTCTTTATTCTTTGTCATTCAGTAAAAAATGCTTCTTGAAACATACCAGTGTAGGAACTCCAACCAACATAAAGGTGCTTGATGAGGTTGTGTCTGGATTCTCTTTGAAGCCATGCCAGCTTTCTGAATTAGGTAACCATTTAAAATCTCTGATTCTGTTTAGTTTTAAGGGTTATGGATGATGAAATGCAGTCTATCACTGACATGTATAAACATTTCATTATATAGAATAATTCTGATATAATCTTATTCTTACAAATGTAGTTTATAAGACACAAAGGAGGTTCATCTCTCTTTAATTTTTCCATGCTGTCATTCTTCTTACAGAAACAGTTGTGTGCTTTAAAGATCCAAAGAATTCTTTCATAAGATTAGCTTGATGAAATTTTATGTTATTTTTGTATCATGGATATCAAAGTCAAAAATCAGAAAGGAATGTAAAGCTTTCTAAATTCTGTTTCTATACTCTGTATGCACTTGAAAATTTTTAATGAAGACCTTCAGCTTTCTAATACAGCTGGTTAATATGAAGGGATATATTCTGCATTTTGTGGGTGATTTGTATGAAAACACAAAGTCTGTGCTTGTTCCTGCAATCATTACTCAGGCAAAAGTCTAAAATCAAACAGTGTGTATTATACCTTCTTTACCTTACAGATAATCTAGTTTTCCCATGTAAATCACATTTTGTAGAGACTGTATCAACATATTTTTGTTCTATATCAATACATTTTCTTCAGACTCTGCTAATCCTACTGTAGGAATAATCTTTGGAAGTATTGAAAAAAATCATTTTTGTTCAGATCTTAACAATTAAGGCAGTTCATGAAAAATTAATTGTAAAGAATAAAAGAAGGAAGAAAAAGTTTTGTGAAGAGAAGAAAACAGGGTAGCTATTCCCTCTCTAGGTATATGGTATAGAGTAGAGGCAATATTTTTTATGTTTGCCAAACTCTTGCTTTAAGATGTGGTAGAAAAACATGCATTCTTGATTAGAAGAAAAATCACAGTACTCAGGAGGGTCCTGCGCACAAACTTTGAGAAGAATCGGAGGACTGTAGTATATATGCAAACAATAGGATTTTAGTAAAAAAAAATAAATCAAAAGCTATTTGAGATTTCATCAAAGACATTTATGGTTTATGACAGTGATTACATGGTTGTAATGATCCATTGCAAATAATCTGTATTTCTGAAAGAGTGTGTATTGTGTCAGGCTGAGATGGAGTTTGTTTTCCCATAGCAACCCTCACGGTGCTGTACTTTGCACTGGTAGCTAGAAAGGTGTTGATAACACACCAGTGTTTTGGATACTGCTGGGCAAGGCTGGCACAGCATCAGCGCTGTCTCGCAACATTCCCCCCCTATCAAGGGGCTGGGGGTAGACGAGATCATGGGAGAGGACACAACCAGGCCAGCTGACCCAAATTAGCCAAACAGATATTTCATACCATATGATGTGAGCTCAGATACAAAAGCTAAGAAAAGGAGGAGGAAGGGAGGGACATCTGTTATTTACAATGTTTGCCTTTCTGAGCAACTGCTACATGTGCTGAAGCCCTGTTTCCTGGGAAGTGGCTGAACATCGTTTACTGGTGGGAAGAAGAGAATAAAATTACTGGGATTTTTTCTCTTTGCTTATGCACACTCAAACTTTTCCTTCTGCTTTAGTAAATCACCTTGTCTAAACCTAGGAGTCATTTTCCATCTTATTTTCTCTCCCCTGTTCAGCTGGGAAGGGGGAGTGATAGAGCAAGTTGGTGGGCACCTGGCATCCAGCCCAGGTCAACCCACCACAGTTCTTTTTGGCACCCAGTGTGGCTTTTCTCTATTATTCTAGCTTTAATCCTTCCAGTTCTCCCCTCCTCATCTTACTGGTGTGGGAGTGAGTGAGTAGCTGTGTGGGGCTTGATTGCTCTCTGGGGTTAAACTATGACAGCATGTGAAATTCAATCTTGTTCCTGCATGTCTTTCCTTACTCTCTGTGTCTTTTGAGTGAGGCAAGAGCAGAGAGAGAGAAGAAATAAACTGTGTAGTCATAGAAGCCTAGACAGTGCCATTGGATCAAGAGGTCATCTAAGGAGGTCAACTGTCCTAATCTAAGACAGATCAGTTATACCTGTCCAGAGAGAGATTTGTCAAATGTAGTCGTAAAAACTCAGCACCATCTTCTGCCTTATTGTTTTGTAAATATCTGAAATGGGTTTATTTGAATATTTGTTCTAGCTTTTTTCTGACTTTATTTAGTTTATTCCTTCCTGTGTGGCCTTTCATTTTGTGCCTTTGCCTTTGTGACTTTGTCCTTATGCACACATACTATTATATTTCTGTATTTCTGCCCTTTGCAAGGTACCTTCCTTGAGGTCATTTCATATTGAACAAATGATCACTGAACGTGATCCTTTAGATCATGGGTTAGCTTCCCAAAACTTTAAATATAATTTTCTTTAGAAACTATTAATTCTCTTGACTTATTTTCTAGACTGCTGATTTTATTTTCTTCCTGTTCTTATTCTGTAATTACTGCCCAGTATTGTTGACCCTTCATACTTATGTTTTTGAAGACCTCATGAAGTTAACAGGAGTCACATTAAGCTCTACCTCTCCCTTTTTTTAAATTTTCTGATAAGATGTTCCAGTATGTATATCTATAACAAACCCAGTAGAGTACTTTCTCAAGCTGTACTTTCTCAACAGCTGAAGTTCTCTGCTGCCACCAAGTCCTGTCTTTTGGATAATTTTGCTATTTTTACCATCTTTACAACTTAATAGGTTCAAGAAGCATCCTCTGTTCTGCTGCTTCCTTTTTTTCTCTTTTTGTTCTTGCATTAGGATTCTAACTAGGACTGGAAGTATATCTCTGGAGAAGGCAACTCATCAATTACTTTCTAAACATGCTAGTACTTCCTTGTAACTTCTATATCCGTAGTCTGGTTGTGTGAATTATCCTGCCAAGCTTCTGTTGTGCTATTTTGGTCATGTCAGAGAGCAGAATATACAGAAGTCCTACTTATTCTGCCTACTAAAAAAGCTAAAGTATTAAGAAGACTATCCTATTATTTTTCCTCTAGTTTTCCCATGATCCCATTAGATATAGCTATTTAAAATTAATTTAAAGCTTTCCCTATTAGATTAGCAAATCTGTATTGTAACACATAATTTCTCTTTTCCTCTGTATGAACCTTATCCCTGCTCAGTAGCGCTCTCCATGAGTTTACATTTTCAAAAATGTTCTTGAGAAACACTTTTGGGTTAGAATGTTGTGTTGTCTTTCCAGCTTATCAATCATGGAAGGAAAATGGGAATAAAGATAGAAATGAATAATTGGTAAATCTCAATATTCTGATGACATAACAAAGTCTTTGGATCTTTTATATTTTGTTCTTGTTTTATACAGATTGTCAAATGGACATTTTTGATGATCAAGAGTTTTCAGGAACTAATATTACAAGTTTTTTCACTCCTGATATTTCTGTCTGCCAAACTATTTGCACGTATTTTCCAAAGTGCTTGTTCTTTACATTCTTTACCAGGAAATGGGAAATAGAATCCCAAAGGTGAATATGACAATCAAATATAATTATCTATATAGATTTTTAAAAAGTTATTTTTTAAAAAGAAAGGTTTTTTTTAAAACACTGATTTCTGAAAATTGAGGAATTTTATGTTAAAAGGCTGTTTTCAGTAAAGCTTGGTGGTTTGGTTGTTTTGTTTTTTTTTTTTTTTTTTTCATAAATCTATAGTTTCCTGAGGGCATATCATCAGTTTTCCAATGCAGTAAGGGTTTTCCAAGACAATTGCGGTTGCATATCTGGTCCTAATCTCAAAAGGTCATCAAAAATACAGTGAACCTCCCAACTGCTTTAATGACTTAAAGCCAAATTTTATGACATTGTCAAAAGAGCCATAATGGTTTCCAAGCAGGATAAACTTATTTACCTGAAAAGATTTTCCAGTGAAGTTTAGAAATATTTCTATATGTCTTCCTTCTTTTGTACACAAACCAGACGAATAAAGTTTCAAAGGAGTTCCAGTGAGAAGCAAAGCTGAGATGGAATGCATCACCTAAACTCACCTTTTCTACAAATGTATAAATACTGTACAACCTTCAGTAGCACAGTTATTTGCCATTTCGCAGTACTACAAAACCTACCTCAATCAAGTATGAACTCGGGAACTTAGTGAATGCATTTTTGTGTGAAATACTTTTACAGATTGAGACTTGTGAGAAAACGACATGTTTAAGAAAGAAACTTCTCTTACCAGTATTTAAATAATTATTTTTAGGATGTGATAACAGATTTAGTTATTGTAAAAAATATTTCATTTTAGAAATCTTTGCCTTCTGAAGACATCAACAAGCGGGATACCAGAGGCACTTATATCACGAGAAAATGCTGTATCAGGCTTTGGTCTCCTAAACTGCAGAAGATCTTTTCCTGGTAAACTATAAATGACAATAAAAATACTAATTTTGAATTAAATTATTAATGTTCTGATGCTTGGACTGCACTCATTCTTACAGCCTGCAATTCTCGCACTTACACGCATATGGATTTTTTGGGAGATGAACTTAATGTCACTTATACTAAAGGACACAGAGCCTGTCAGCAAGTTTGCACAGACGTGATCCGCTGCCAATTTTTTACGTACTTTCCCCTCCAAGATTCATGCAATGAGGAAAGGTGAGATAAAATTTTTAAAATGTTGAAAGATTGCTGACATAGTCATTCTGCAGATGTGGTGAGCGGGTAATGGAAGAGTTCTTCATTAAAAAAGTACAAACTAAATCTTAGCATCAATTCATTGACAGAAAGTGTGAGTGTCACCTAAGAATGTCCTCAAATGGATCTCCGGTGAAAATAGTGCATGGGCCAGGAAGGATCTCTGGATACTCACTGAGATTATGTAAAAAAAAAGCCAGTACTGGTAAGTAAAGCTTCTTTCATGCAAGAAAGCCAGTGCTTCACTGATTTCAGTATAGGGGGCCAAACAATTTTTGTTTTTTAAAGTGGTTTCACTGAATTGGTTGCACTGTCCCAGTGGGTCACCTTGAGAAGTTAAAGTGTTCTGAAAAAGTGAAGTCAGGCAGGTCTGTACATTGTGAACACCAGCAGTAGCACTGTGAATTTGGTTTAAATAGTCTTCATGATTGTAAATCATAAAGGAATTAGAATGTATCACCTTCTTCTCAATGGATGGTCGTTTTTCAGTGATCAGCAGTAGTCTCATCTTCATTTTATTTTGGTGAGTGCAAGTTATCTCCAAGATCAGTTTGGAATTATTTCTGTAGTGTGTATGCAGCATTCTGCAAGAACTATTCGGATCGTTGGAGGAACAGACTCTTCCCCTGGGGAATGGCCATGGCAGGTCAGCTTGCATGTGAAGTTGTCTCGTCAGAGACACCTGTGCGGGGGCTCTATCATCAGCAACCGGTGGATTCTCACAGCTGCTCACTGTGTCACGAGGTGAGACCTAAATGTAAACATACAGATAAACCCAAAGATTTAACCTAGCATGTGAGATAAATTGAGATCTACCTTTCAGGATAATAACAATGATAATTAGAGTAAAACAAATGGTTTTAATGTAACCGAGAGGTGAACTTTTCAGGTAGACTATTCATCTTCTTAAAGTAGCTGGAACTTCATACTTTGTCCCTTTGTAACATAGTATTGTACTGCTGATGCTAAATTATTTTAATGAATCTAGAAGATGAAATTATAAAGCAGACAACAGCTATTTACAGAACCTTAGACACTCTAATGAGATACAAGCTTTTTCTTACTGTAATAACATATAAGCTATCAAGAAAAGTCTGTAGCTGGGTTATTGCATTTCATAAATTTCAAATAAGTTATCTCAGAGATTTTTCTGTACCACTAATCTGATAGTTTTAGCAGTAGGGTTCTCAGCAATGTAACCTTCTTGACCAGGACACACCATAAATCTTTAAGTCCAGTTAGGCTGCCGCTGGCACCTCAGCATTACGTGAAACATCAAGAACACAATTGTCTTAGTTTCTTTCAACAGTTTTCAATCCCCCAAATTTTATAAACCAGTGAATTCATACCCCATTTTCAATGGAGATTTTCAGATTTAAAGCAGTCAGTACCTAAGACTTCAATAATTTGCATAAACTGATGCATATAGTCTGTATTGTTAATCAAATTACCATCAGATCTGGGTCATGAAATTGTTTACATTGCAAAGGGCTGATTTAATTGTCATGTAGTTGATCCATTTCCCATGTTAGATTGTCAGTGCCTGTAAAATAGGTTATCCTGCCATTTACAAAATGAAATGGAAGTCTTCAATGCAGTCTGATGGGAGAAGAAGAACAGGTAACAGATAAAAGCCTTCAAAGAAGAGAATGTTGACCCAGCATCATGGTCCAAATCAAGGCATTTTTACTGACCCAGTGTAGTATGTTTCCCATTACTGTTTTCTCATGGAATAGTACTACCATTATTTTGCCTCCAATGGCAAATTTTAAAAAGTGGTTAAACTTTTAAAGAACCCTATATAAAAATATCCTTTACCTACTATCCAGTGTACAAGTTACCATTATTATAAAAGGCAAAAGGAGAATATATACTTGCAAAATAACAATAAAAATATACTTTTTCAATTGGAATTCTTAAAGCCCAATTAATATTTTTGAATTCATATATAAAATCTTCAAAAATGTTGGAGTTTATTTAAGACACTTTTTGAATCTTTTTCATTGTGTGTACCAAAACTTCTAGATTGCCTTAATGGTAGGTAGAATGCCACAATGAGATATCCCTTACACTTACTCAAAATAAAGTTAGAATAATAAAGATTAGCTGAAACCTTTCATATATGTCTGTGGTATTATACTTTGTAATCTATATTTACATGGCTAGTGTCATTTTCTCAACTAATAAGTGTCAGAGTAGGCTACTTGAATTTCTGTTACCAACCCTATTTTCATTACTAGAAAAATTGTGTTGGAAAGAATTGAAAGAATCACATTAACTACTCCAGGGCTTGCTTTACAGTTTTTAGCCACAGGCTGACTGTTTGTCTTTTTCCCTCAGTCTTGCGAATCCCAACATTTGGCGTGTTTATGCTGGTATTTTAAAACAATCAGAAATAAATGAGGATACACCTTTCTTCAGAGTGGAAGAGATTATTGTTCACCCTCAGTATAAATATGCACAGACGGGATATGACATTGCCTTAATGAAACTTGCTAAGCCTATGAATTTTACTGGTATGTAGTGTATTGCAGAGGAATTCTGAAAATGTGCAGGATGTCACAGGGCTGGCATTGCAGTGCATGACACCTGGGCTGACTTCCTTCAATATGCAATTATAGGGGTTTGAGGAGGGGCTCGTTATGTTGGCTTTGAAAAGAAAATGGGTGGCTTATTTTTATGTGTTGGGAATGATATATAGTGTAAGGGACAAAGCATAACATGAAGTCTGTCATCAGGCGTCATTATTTGCCTTGTTGTGGTTGTCTCTGCTGGTCAAACTAATACTTTTAATTGTATTTTAGATCTTCAACTACCTATTTGCCTGCCATCAAAAGAGGACACTAACATATTTTATACTGACTGTTGGGTAACTGGATGGGGTTACAGAAAAGAAAAAGGTACAGAAAAATATTTTTAAACAGCAAGTTCTTGTATTTGTGAAATTCATGTGTTTAAAAAAACACCAACCCCCCTTTTATAAAAAAATAAAATTCTGCTCTGTTTGTAGGTACCATTCTTGCTTCTAGCCAACATTGTAATATAACTCTTAATTAGAAAACAGCACTGTAATATAATTCTTAATTAGAATCTATTTCTATTAAGACACCACAAAACATAAATGAGACATAAGAAATTATCATTAAATAAGTCCACGCTCTGACACAAGAATTAATTTTATAAATTGTTCGATTCAATAATTTGGAATATGTGAGAATTCAACGTTGAATATATCCTGTACAGCTCTCAAATACTTTTTCTTATATTCTAGCTCAATCTCTCAGTAAAATCCAATATATGTCTGGAATGCACACTCCTTTTCCTAGCTGAAAAAGGACAGCAAACTTATCATTGAACTGTTTTGAATCACAGTCTGCACATAGCCCATGATTTTTTAAAATGTGATTGTATTCATACGACTTCAAAAATCAGAGACTGAAGTGTGTTGCTTTTATTATTCTCAAGATTAATTATAAAAAATGCCAATTACTTGTGTTTTGATAGTGAATGAGACTTGTACTCCTCTGATTTTATGTGAAGGTAGGCCAAAAAAACCTTCTAATTATCAAAGTATGGTTTTATATTTATCTACTTATTTATATTTTTATATGTATCATCTTCACATGTTTATATGGATGTATACCTATTTAAAGAGTTTCTTTTCCTTTATACAGCTGCATATTTGGAGGTTAGAGTTCAATATGAAATCTAACAAATTTAGGCAGATTTTTTATAGACAAATTTCTTCTGGTAATTTCCAAGAAAAAGCGGCTCTCAAATAATCTTATTTATTCGATGTGCAAGTTTCTCCATCCTGTAAAGTGCTAGGGCATAGAGGAGCATAGATTTGGCAACTGGGAGATTCCAAAGTTATTGCAACACTTTACTAGGAAAAAGTAGTTACTAAAAGCAATACTAATGGCAATGCTCCAAGGGCAAGTGTCCTGAGAGCCATACACATATGAAGAATTCATTGCAAATCATAAGGAAGTTTTGAAGCTTGTCCAGTCATAAGAAAGAAAATGGCATTATAAAAACATTCAAATTAGAAGACAGTTCACATTTCTTGTAACAAAAAGAAAGAACAATTGGTGTCATCTATCAACACTCTAGAAGCAGTGACCTCCCACTTCGTAATATCAGTGTATGGGGAAGTTTAATTTTAACTTTTCTCTGCTCATATTGCCTTTTACATAGGTCGAGTACAAGATATTCTCCAGAAGGCTCCCATTCCCCTCATGTCAACAGAGGAATGCCAGGCAAGGTACCGGAAGCGCAGAATAGGTGACAAAGTCATCTGTGCTGGCTACGATGAAGGTGGAAGGGATGCTTGTAAGGTAATGAAAAAGAGTAGTGTTTAGCTATATATTCCAACTATTTTTTCAAATATATAATTGAATACTGTAATTTTTTTATTTGCTATTTGAAAGGCATGGTTATCAATAGAGTTGTTGATTAGTTTGTCACTTTTCCTTGTCAAATGCACTGAAAATTAAAGTATGTGGAAAATATTTCTTATGCAACATTGAAATCTTTAGGGATAGATTCCATGGATTGGAAATTCCGAGTGTGGATATATAGATAGCTCAACCATTTACAGAATAAAACAGTGTTCCTTCAGACTATCAGAAATCCAAAGAGAGCAAGTATAGCATCTCAAAACATTTCTCCAGTAAAAGCGGATTTCCTATGTAGTGTTTTATTTCTTGACATGAAATACAGTATATGAAAGCTTATTTTAAAATATCCACCATGTACAAACCAGAAGGGAGGGTACTAGCAGTGCTGTTAAAATGCATGGCCAATAGAAGGCTAAAAACAACCTGTGCAAACTGCTCTGTTTGGTTTTGGAGCTGGAAATGTCACACCAGTGTGAGTTCAGTGAGCCAAATTCTCTTCTCAAGTGTAAACTCATGCCCTTCCATCAGGTTAAATATTCTGAGTTAGCTTATGTAAGAAGAAAATAGTCTGATTATTAAGATTAAATTCTCTACCAAATACAGTTTTCACTGTAAACATTTAACAGTTAATATTTTTATGTTAAAATGTTACTATGATTGATATTGAGTAATTAGGAATAAAAATTTCCTCTATGCCAATTAGGCTTTCTTTATCTGATACAGTGTACCAGAAGATGGAGATGCTGCTTTATAAAAATAACACACTTGCTATTGTGCTAACAACTTATAATGGCTACACTGAAGAACCTTATGTTCAGAAAGATGGGTTAGGAATAGGAAAAGAAAACAGAGAAGTGTTTTATCCTGATGGGGAAAGTCACTCAAACAAGGTAAACCATGCAGAGAACTGAGATTTGCATACTAAAAAAAAAAAACCATTAAAGAAAACATTTCTGAATTTACAGTTTTTCTTACTTGCACACATAGTCTTCATTGGGTTTTAAATCACTGCATGCAGATAAGTAAGGAAAAAAAAAAGCTAGTAGTTTTGAAACTTCACGGTAAGTAGAAATTATTTGTAATGACTAGAAAGTATTTAGAAATCAATTTACAAAAATGTCAGAAAACCTGCTACATGCATTAAGTGAAAGTGATTGAAATCTAGGCAGTTATGCTGGTGTTAACACTCAATGATGCTGATTTTATTCAAGGCTTTCTTTGAGATAGAAATACTGATGAGGGCTCTTCCTTGCATGCTCTCTCTTTTTCTCCTGTGACACAGGGAGATTCGGGAGGGCCACTGGCATGCAGGCATGAGGAAGTGTGGTATCTGGTGGGCATCACCAGCTGGGGCGAAGGGTGTGCTCGCCCCAGGCAGCCGGGAGTCTACACCAAAGTTGCTGAGTATTCAGACTGGATTCTAGAAAAAACTTCATAGCATGAGCATTACTGACTCACTCCAAGTGATGTTGTAGAATAACAATCCTAAGAGGAATGTGATGAAGCATATTAGTGTTTTTTAAATGGTGTTTCTCGTTAGCCTGGAGTGTAAAAGTCTTGATTTGAAAAGCAGAAAAGCACCAATGAATGAATTTTCCTATTACTAAATAAAAAGCACTAATAAAAATAAACTCTGTGGTCACTTATTTGGCAGAAAAAAAATATGGCTGAACCATGGATTTCTTCTGTCCTTGCTAGCTTAAAAGAGGAGCGGATGAGATTGTAGGGCATATATGGACCTGGGAGCTGGCAACTACTAACTTAAGAGGTTTGAACATAGCAGTGGAGATTTCCCTCTCTTGTCTGAATGTGGCTAAAATGGGCAAACCACTTACAAACTTACTAAGGGGCTGAGGGAAGGGAATATGAGACAGAGAGATGCCTATACATTTGAGTAAGCCTTGTTTCCTTAGGGAATTACCCAAAAAAGTAGCAGCACTAACCAAGAAAACAAATCCAGAGGTCTTGGCAAGCACTTCAGTAGTGGTTTTGTAAATATGGTAATAATACTGTGTGTGAGTCAGCACAGTCGGCAGAAGGAACAACCACAGATCCATGGCTGAAATGCAGAGAGTAAACTTATTCCCATTCCCTCACTAACCAGAGGATCCCCAAAGCAGAACCTGGGCAGACGTACCCAGGTGGCTGCAGATGCCATTCAAGCTGGTTCATGCTACAAGATCCATCCTGTTCCCAGTGGTCTACCAAGAGTACCTGCACGAGTGGTTTGCCATTGCGCTGTGATCTTCGCTGTACTTTGATCTGCTCTGGACCAAGACAAGGAACTCAAGCACGTCCCTCAGGTTCCCTCCAAGTCTACCAAACACCTCTTTTGTCTGTTCACAGATGTTCTCAAGGCCCTCAGAAGGCAAACAGGAGTAGGCATAATATATATGTTTTTCTACATTACTACTTTCCAGAATTTTTACATTCCCAGCTGAAAGGTCACTTGGGTATATTTACAATCCTCCTTTAACAGTCTTCTTTTAACCCATTCCTCTCAATACTCTGGCTTTCACTTACATTATTCAAGTTTCTGTGGAAAGTTTTGTGATTAGAATGATAATGTGGGTCTCCTTCTTTTGAGGCAGAATATCCAGAAAATCAGTAAAAGAATCCCTCTACTTTAGAGACATCATTAACACAATATATTTTTATTTTCCAAATCCCTAGCTCTCCTCGATTAAAGAAACAACTTTATAATTTTATCATATCTCCTTTCTATTCCTTTTATAATTTCTTGCTACTCCATGTCAGGTAGCTCATGTTTCATGGCTAAAATAAACACTAGTGTGAGAGACAGCAGTCAGATCTATTACTTTATCATAGTAGGAGGCAGCATTTCACACTGCATCAGAAAGGAGAGCAGGGAACGTAGCATTGTATTTGCAAAACTATATGAACTTGTTTCCTAATCATCGACATTACCTTAACTGCTGAAAATATGTTCCAGACACCACACTGGGAGGTAAACAGCAGGAGTGTCTTTGCAAGTAAATGAGGTAATGAAAATTAGAAATTAAACATAAGAGTTATGGGGAAAACAATTAAGCTGCTGAAAAGTATTTTTTATGTTTAACTTTTTTATACTTTATTTGTAAATAATACTGAGAAAAAAAAATGTAATTTCACAACTACAAGCTTACACTCTGTGCTTGAGCATCCAAAGAGGCCCTAAAGTCAGAGTGCTTCTCAGTGTGTGCAGTGCTAAGCTGACTGCAGTCAACAAACCTGAAATCCCAAAGCTGTACTCAGAGGCTGAGGAGTTGATTTAGTTTGTTTATTTTTAAAGAATTCGAATTCAAAGAAGGGATGAAAACAGTCCAGACTTAAGAGGAGGGGAGAGGGAATGATGCTGCTGCAGGCACATCTGAGGAAGGAAAGGTGCTGCCTTCCCTCTGACCCACAGTGGGCTCCTTTTGACAGAGGCTTGCATTGCTGGGGTTGCACAATTCTCAAGGTCTCATGCTTTGGATGTCCCTGTGCAGGATGTAGATGTTCAGAGTGCCAACAGGCAAAGTCTGGTATGTGTTGAGGGAATTGGATCAAGGGTGAGAGGGAAGGCATATCACTGAGCTGGGGTTTTTGTCAACACTGCAGAAGCAGAACAGGAGATAAAGGTGGGGGCTGATGTCCTTTTCGTGCTCTGTTTATTCCACAGATGGTTTAAAATATCAGCAAACCTCAGGCACACTGTCAAAAACCTAGAGACTGAGAAAGGGTAGGAAAAACCAGAAAACGGGGAAAAAAAGAAAGATTCCTGGCATTGAAGTATAGTTCTGTCCTCAGGGGAAAAGAGTGAAGACAGCTGGAAAAGAGTTGCTGAAGGAAAAAAGGAATAGCTTCAGTAGGAAAACAGAGGCTGAAACTCTCTAAAGAAGAGTCATCAGGAGACTGTCTGAAATACTTCTCTGCCATACTCAAGCTGTGTATTTGCTAAAGAGCATATGCAATGTCAATGTGATAAACCTTAATACTTTCCCATAATAATGCTGTCACCAGCTTCTTTTTCAAATGCACATGTGCTTTTCTTTTTTCTTTTTGTTTGTTTGTTTATTTGTTTCTTTTCTGCAACACCTTTACAGGTTGTAACTATTGGAGTAAAAAAAGAGGAACGGTAGCTCAGCAGTGCTCTATAGACCTCTAGAGCCCCATATTTTGTTTCTCAGACGTATACGAAGTGATGGACACGTGCCAAAGGAAACTTAAATGTTCCTGTGGAAAAGACAAGGGATCTCAACAACTGAATACATCCTTCGTGAGCAGCTGTTGATCAGATAAAATATCTTATTGCAATATATTTTCAATGAGAGTAGATATTCTTCAATGACTTTTTGCATTAGTTGTCTGTCCGTCTGTAACAAATTCATGATACCTAAAAGTGAGTACCAGAATAGAGACATAGAGAATGGAAGAGTTCCTGGTGGCTATATGAAGTCCTTTTGACTTTACTGAAGATAAACTACATGAGAGAATGTCTGACCTTTCTGTGGATTTATATACCAGCATAATATGTAATTCATTGAGACCTTTAGACTCACAGATAGAAATGCATTAGTATTATTAAGTGTTATGTTGCTTAGGCTTTCTGGTAGCCATAACTGGTAACTTGCACTAAATGAGAGGGTGTTTATGACCTTTATTTATTCTTCCTTCTTCTCTACCTCCCTGGGGAAAAATAATTTTTAAAAAGCCAACAACCACAAAACCTATCTAAATCTCATTAAAGAAATACCTGGCCTTATACTTTACACCTGCTTCCGTTTGTGTTGGGACAGAACATAAACTTCAGTGCTTTAGTTATTTTGATTTTCTGATGGTGCTGAAAGTCAATAAAGCTCATAGTCTTACTTAAAATTGATAGGCAGAAATCTTGTAAGGAGCAAACGTCACTATAGATGTAGTGAATGGCAGCATTAGTCTGTCCTGATTTTTTGTGCAAATACTGATCCCAGAAATTTACAGTCTCCTTCAGACACAAATGAAACACTCATATGTGTTGTGACAGTATGGAGAGCACTTAGTTCATCATAAAGGAAGGCATACTGTGTTGCAACTCAAGTGGACTCTTTAACTTATAATAACCTTCTCTGTAGTAATTTTTAATAGAATTGTAAACCAAACAAAACCAATTGCCCGTTAAACTGGCAATGCAGTGTTTCCTACCACTGCTGGTGCTCTGCCTAATATCTGAGGCTGAAGTATGTCTTTCTGAAAGTGACCTGAGCTGTGAATGAGAAGACATGAGGTGTCTCATTACTTCTTGCTGGGAGAATTAAAAATTCTTACCATGAAGATGTACAGAGATCTCCAAGTACATCCATTGGGAATTGGAGGGGAGGGGAACAATTTGATATAAGCTTTCAGTGTAAGTTTTATTTGCTCTGTGAAAAATTATTATTCTCCTGGGATGAAAAATGCATCTCAGCTGCTGAAAAATAAGAAACTGGATGGAATTAAAATAATTCATGGTGGCATTCCTCATAGTAGGAGAACTATAAATTCTTGTTCTCTGGCTAGTTTCCACTATATATAGAGGATTCTTTGGAAAACTCTTGCTGGGTTTGGAAAACTATCTGCATTATAATTAATTAAAACTGCATTTCCACTTCAAATAGAAGGCAACATTATTTTGCCTCTGAACAATAATAGCAAATATGAAATACTACATATTTATAGTGAAGCATTTCCTGAAGTAGCAAATTGATTGTTTTTCCCATGGTCGTTGTGTTGTAAATCTCATTATAGATATGTATAGATGTATTAGAACTACTGTGGAGTGTTGCATATTACAAGAAATTTTTCATGAGTTATGCAGCAGAGATGTAAAACAGTTGTTTTGCGTATTTTTACTCTTTCCTAATTTTCATAGGATCATAGCATTTTGAGAAGATATTAGAGATTAACTAGTGCACCATCCTGCCCTTGTGCACAGTCAAGAGTGCCTATTCTTGACGAGAGTTTCTCTAGCCTCTGGGAACAGAGGTTCTACAGTCACTGTGTAGAAGCTATTTTAGTGCTCAAAGATCTGTATCACAACAAAATTTTTCCTGATCACTGGCTTAAAGAATCTTTCCTGCAGTATAGTTTTAGTATTTCTTGTACTACATACCATGAAAACGGAAAAAAAGGAGGGGGGAGGTTTTTCTTTTTTGTTTTGCTTTGTTTTGTTTTGTTGTTGTTGTTGGCTGGGTGGTTGGTGGTTTGCTTTTTTTTTTTTTTTTTTACAATTTTTTAGTTACCACTTTACACTTAATGTTTTTGATACTCTTCCCATCACAATGTGAAGTTATCCAGTGTTGTCAGTTCCCACATTTTGTTGACTGGTTTATTTGTAAAAGTCAGAGAAGTGTGGGTTGGGGGTAAGAATGATAGAGGAAGAGGACTATATGCACAGAGCATGCAAGAAGGGATTAAAGGGAGCTGGTAGGAACTAAGATGAAGTTAGAGTTGAAACAAATAAAACAAGAATCAGTGCAAGTTGAAGAAAGACCAGCCTAAAGAGTTATCGTGGCATCTGGGACTGAACACATGATGGAGCACCTAGACCTCCTTTCTAGGTCCACGGAACCATACTCCAGGACCTGAAAATTAATGTGATATGGTGCAGGAAGTTTTTCTGTGCTA